AAATCGCCACTTCTGGGCCGTTTGTACCAATAATTAGACACGACATCGGCACCAAGAACATTGCAAATTGAATCAGAGGCTTTGGACGCAGCTTCTTTTCCTTGTTGGAATTCGTACAAAATGCAATGTTGTTGTGATTTGCCATGCAAAACTCTGCTACCCTGAGAGGTTAATCATCTCACGCAAACGCGACGTTCGACGCTCTGAAAACTTGATCTAATTCTTTCAAAACCACAAAACACCGGCAAATATTTTAAAATTCAAATAATTTTAAGTTGAAAGAACAAATCCGGAATAATTAAGTAATACACTTAAATATCTTTCTAATGAAAATGAAATTTTAGTAAATCCGTTGAATAGCGACCTTTCGTAGTTGAAAAAAACATGTTTTTGAACCTGTAACCTACTGCAAACCGTGATTGTAGTGAGGAAATTAGAAAGTAAATGGAGTTAGTCTATTAATAAGAGAAAGCCACATTTCTTTTAAACCCCGTTGACTGTAGTTCTTATTTTGAAAAATGTTTAAAAAGGGCATTAATGCAGTAAAAGAAAAATAATGTTAGGTGTGGTGTCGTAGAAAGCCCTTTTATAATAAATTAATTAACCCACAACCACTATTTTGTCTTTTGGCGGTGGAACTGCTTATGAGGCAAGGGTGTCGACTTACCTATGATAATTTTTCCATGGATTGCAAAATAAAAAAAAACAAACGCCATCTTAAAATTCCACTTAGAATAGAGATTAAACCGTTCTTCCCAGTTGTTTTACAATGTGTGTAATCGTTGCCATATCGGTCTTGGTTCATCGTTTGTTTTAATCCTACTTCGAGCTGAGCGCCGCTTACAATTTGCTCACGATGAAAGCTGCATAAATTTACCCAAAACTAGGTGTCAACACATTCATTGTATCCGTCAACTGTTTACCATTAATTGATTACCCGGTTTATCGTTTAGTTACTGTTGCCGGACATACCGATTTGTCCCTTATCCTTTGTAACTTAGACGCGTAAAATCGAGCCTGGAAGTCATGCGTGTTTGTTTGCAGGATTTATGAGGTATCCCGTCTCCAAAGAAGCATGCATGTCAAGACATCTGCGCACGAAATCTATGTTGGCCAATGCGTTGAATCTAGCCCGGTTACTCAACCCTGGGAACCGGCGAGGATGAAAAAGACCGTTTGCCAGACAGCTCAACCAAGCCGTGCCTCTGTTTGTGTGCATTAAGGATTGTGCATGACTCACGTGTTTTGGCGTTGGATACTGTTGAGTACACTGGTTAAAAATGGTTGAATGGGCAGGAGGGACACGCGTGAAAAGGGGGCCGTGTGTGTGTGTGTGTGAGGCTGCGCTGACCGCGTTAATAGACGTGAATCATCACGAGACACTACATCATCTACTTTGGACAAGATTTCACTGCTAGGAGCATGGCTAAAGGCACTGGGAATATTTTGCTATATCTATACTTCTGATAGTAAATTCTTTTCAAATGGTCAGATACTCCAAGGCAGGAAACATGCAGTCAAATTTATTGTGCAGTAGTCAAAATTTATTGCAAATTCCGGCAAACGGATAAAGACGTCACCGGCAAGTATTCCCAAACAGCTGCTTCAAGTGTCAACACACATCAGAGGAGAGGGGAATTTTAAAAACATCAACACGACAGGAAATTGCGATAACATTGAAGTTGAAACCCTAGCTAGACCTTTAAGTCAACGATCCAATGACGAGTTGCTGTCGACGCAGAAAAATCGCCCTCACTGTCTAAAGGGCAAAATCTTTTTTGGTGAGAAAAAACAACACTTTCCAGATCTCCACATACAGTAGATGTAGCAAGAAAATACTCAACTTGTTTTAACATCATAAAAGTGGTCGCGAAATTTTGTTAGCACAGCTTGTCCAAGGCGTTTTCACAAAATGGGCTTAATCGTGAGTGGTCACTGATCAACCAAGGGCCATTTTAGCTAAATTCGTCCTCCCAGGTAGCTGTGTATTGAATTCACGTCGCCAAAAGCGTGCAAAGCGGGCAGTAAATTTAGACACGGACGGCCTAGTTAGGAGATTTAGCTAAAGTCCATTCCGCCAAAATTAGACTGGCGACTCCCGGGTTAGTCAATAGCTGGGGCATTCGGCGTGCAATAGTTTACTGCCGTCGCCTTGGCAAATTGTACTTTACAAGCTTCATTGTGCAGTGGTTAGTGAAAGTTCACGTCTATCAAGCCTTAGTTGAGCAATCTAGCCAACGGTTTTGCCTTCGCCATCAATATCCCAAGTCTCCCTCGTAGTCTATATTGCGTAACCAGCCTCGAGGTGGTTTGTAGACCGCACACCGATACTTTGAACTATTGCAACATGGCTTTGACGTGTGTACGTCAACCAATATCATGAAACCACAGGCCTATAGGCCAATAATCACACGAAACTGCTCAAAACAGTCCTGGTTTAAAGCCCAAACAAAGACTCTTTGAGATATTTGAAAAGAAAACAAAATCAAGTTTTTTTTAAAAATCTCTCGATCGGTGCAATTGTTCCAGCTTTCAGAAAATCAATTTTCGATTAGCAAGTGAACACTGTTAGCAAGCCTGAGCGAACACGAATTCAAGTGCCTTACTTGAATGCACTTCACGAAGCGATGTTTGTTCAAAAATCGATATTAATCGATCCTACATAAACCGTCGACTTGGCGCATCAATAAATCTGTTAGACTAGGAGTTATCTCTGAAAATCAAGAAGACGTGTAAATATATGTTCAATTTGAGGTATTCAATTTGCGAAACGCTTTTAAAGTTAATTCATAAATTCAGCCCTGATGAAATAATTTTTGGCTGTGTCTGCCGGTGCTACTGTTTTGCTTTTTTCCATGTGAGCAAAATTTTTGATGTGCTAATTTTAGATGAACGTACTGAAAATCCTTTATGTCCACAATGTGCATTTAGCAAGTAATTTGATTCAAAATGTGTAATTATTTGTCCTGTTACCGTAAAAAACTACCACACTGCTATTTACCTTTGTAAAATTTTACACTTATGACTTAAAAGGCAGTCTTTTTCGTAAGAATAGTCAAATTATTCAAAAGCAGATGGTGGTAACTTTGGTAAATGTTAAGAGTGATAATCACCATTGAAACTGTTGTCCATGTCATCTGGTGGATTTATTATTTACCAAGCCTTACACTCGATACAAATTTTATTAATTTTATTTTTGGCCAAATTTTGCAGAAGGCGGCAAACTATATTAAGTATTTTCTTTTAATGACCCCTTTTTCTACTGTTTAGCATTTCTAAGTAGTTAAACTTTGCAGAAAGTTAATTTACCAATCAGCGATTTTGCCCGAAAGTTGCAAATTCACTTGAAAATTAATCGATTATCCTAATTGAATATTACTAATGTCGCATTGTCGCTGTAAGCATTCATGGCACTTAGAAACAAAAATTGCTTGTGCGTTCCGCCCTTAGTTTCCGGTATTACGACATTTGCTTAACGGACCTTTTTTCGACACAAAAACATGACCCAGATTTTAGATAAATTTGAATTATTAGCTACGCAATTTACGCGTCCGTCGGTTTAAACTGCCTGTTTGCCAAAAGATCTGATTTCGTGTTGTAAATTTACAAAATAATTTTAAAAAAAACTGTCGCAAAGAAATGAAACTATCATTGCCAAAACAAACTAGCACAAATTAAATGGCTGTGTTTGTGGCCTCCAAATTGTTATCAAATGATCTCTAAAACGAATGTTTTTAAAGCAACGATTGCATTTTTATGTAAATTTAGTAGAAAGTGTTTGGCAGAAACAGTTTGATCTGTTCTTCTGGGATTTACCTACAGCACAGCAGAAAATAATGGCTAATCGTGTTGCACAAACTAAAGCGCATAGGATGAAAGCACCTGGAACATAGTGGTCTGTCTCACAAATCTACCTCAGCGCAGAAAGTAAATAATTTCTCATTTTTTATGTATTTTTTTTTTAAATCAGAATGGCATGTTGCACATAATTTAGCAAAAAAAAAGATTTTCCTGAAAAAAGGCCCAAGACGAAAAGGAAGGTAAATTTGCAGCGAACTGTCATCAAACGAGCTTGAGTGAAGCGTATTCGCGAGTTGATCGAATGTCATCGATTGCCGATTACAGTCGACGTTCGATATTCGCCCACGTGCTTGGCTAAAATAACTTGGGTGTTCAAATGTAAATAAATCGATTTTTGTAAATGCATTTCACGCTACTCCGTTCGTTAAGCGATCGATGCTTAGCAAGGCTATATAACGCACCTGTTACTACTTTTCGTTCGGTCGGGCCCTGTCAATGTAGATTGCCGGCCCTAATGTGGCTCCCAAAACCGCACCGCAGCCCGCTACAAATTCATCAACAATTAAAATGCATTCCAAAACCGCCAAACGCATTACGCATGTTGTACGCCCCAGCATGTGGTCTGTTTAATCGAATCCTGGTATAACACATAATCTCAAAAGCGAGTTTGGCGGTTAACTTAAAGATAATGTTTGTGTACTGTGGAGCTTTTGTTTATTTGAATGGATTGCAGCCATGATGGGAGCGTAATTAAAAATCCATAAATTATCAAGAAGTGACTAGTTCGTGGTTTTGGGATTATCTGGCATGGTGTCATGAAAATCTTAATACATGGGGATGTTATGAGATACGATGATGGAGGAAACAAAGCATTGTTTGCTAATAAATCTGCTAGATATTTAGCATTATTTTCCCTGGGAAAAAAGTATATTGCATTACAAAATGAATGTATTAATTAATATCTGCAAAATTAGACACTTTTAAATGTACACCCAGCTTTAAAAGTCGTCAACAAATACCCACGTATCTTTGGAGTAAATGGATAATTCAGGTGACGTGGATGCAAGGCGACCACAGGAAGTAATTTGCCCGACACGCACGGAGCTTGACAATGTCCAAAATTGAGGCACAAGCTTAGGTTGTAAAGTACAAAGTCGCCGTTTTCAAACCCGCAAATATTACAGGGTGGCGGCTTATGCTCAAAAAAGCCTATTTCGAAGACATCGATGGTGGCTTTTTGGACTGCCGAGGTTCTTGAAGGCATTCTTCCGCACATCCTTGTGCATTAAGCCAAAGATCAGGGGGTTGCAGCACGAGGCGATCGCATACACCACAGACAGAAATACGTAGACGTCTGGTGGCGTGCCACGTCTACTTCGATCCACCGCGGTAGCGTTGCCCCCTGCTGGCACTAAACAATCTTCTGGGTCGATAGTTGTTCCGTCCGCCAATCGAATTAGTCCATATGGAAGATATCCGGCCAGGAAGAGCGTGAATATCACACAGAACATTTTAGTAATCTTCATCTCCCTCGAAATTCGCCTCTTGTCCAAAGACAACCTCGTGCGCATAAAGTCTGAGAGCTTTTTCTGGATTTGAGTGCCTTTTGATTCACCTGGTACCACTTGAGCCGGCATTTTGAATTGAAATTGACCTGCTGGGTGATCGAACTGAAGTGTCAACTCATCATCAACCCCCAAAGTCGATATACTAAAGTCGAAACTCGGCTTTTCATCATCGTCTTCTGAACCCGTCTGTGCTAAGGTTGACGGGCTTAACTGAATCTCATTCCGAGGTGTCATGATCAGTGTGTTCCACTTTGTTACCTCGTTCGGACACTTTGGTGGCTGCGGACATCGCCGTTGAAGGAAATTCTTCCGACGAACATGTATAAATATGGACGCAAAGCAAAATATGACGACGATGCAGGGCAGAATGACGGTTAAAAAAATAACACACACAATCCGAGCGTGCTGATTTCGCTTGTACACACAACGGAGTAGAAATGGGGAGTAAAACATGATAAAGCGGGCGAAGGACTCCAGTTGGTGGATGAATGAAAGCGAGGTGGACTGATATCCGCCTGGAGAATTTAGGAAATTCACGTACGACACACTGTTGAAGACGAGTGTCAGGATGGTAGGAAAGGCACGGCTGCCGAGGATGACAACGAGAATGTACGGACGCTTTCGTATCCGCAGGTAACGATCGTATTGAACTACGACGAGGTATCGATGGAACGAGATGAACGCGTGGTGCCACAAACTGGTGCCAATGAGGATCATGTTTGCTTCCGGAATGACGAAGCAGGAGATGGTGCCTAGGGCCCATCGATTGCAGTAGTACGAGCCGAGCACGAATGTCTGAAGCAGCGTCAAATTGACGATGTCGTTCAAACAAAGACTTAAAATAAGGCTATTTATTACGTTCTGTCGCAGTTTTGTGCATCGTACCAAAACCCACAGTGTCCAGGCGTTTCCCGATATGCCCAGAAGAAGGAAGAATGTCATTACCACAGACGCTGTAATGGTGGCTATTTTCGTAGGCTCCATGTAGGCCATACAGCCGGAAGACGAGGTAGAATTTAGCGTGTGCATGGTAGCAGGAAATTACCTCATGCTGATGAGAAGAAGAGAAGTAAGTGCGATATACCATTAAATATGCCACAAAGCAGCGCGCCTGATTGGTTCAGATGGATTTTGGGGGTTAAAATTTGAACCAATCAGGAGGCAGAAATAAACAGGACTTGGGAGTAATTGAAGAATCCACCTTAATGCCATGCAAAAAAATATTTTGGGCAGAATTCTAAATAAAATTCGTATATATAAGCAAATATCAAGTTTTTTTAAGTGTTAATTTTGAGGAAAACATAGGCTTATCTGGACTTGAAATTAACGCTTTAAGTTTGTCAGTTTATGATGCACACAATAACTCACATTTACCAAAACAGCTTGTCGTGGGCCCCAGGATGTGGTCTTAAACCACACTGGGGCCACGGAAGTAACCCTGGCCCGATTACGTCTCCCTGATATCCGCGATGAAGAAAAAGATCGGAAAGGACGTGGCCTCAACCGTTTACTTCAGAGCTCAACCACGTTGGTGTCGTTTTGTCGTGTGTGGTGTTTGAGCGTGTGTGTTTTTATACCTCAGATGTGTGAGTCATACATGGGCCAACATCGAGACCTAGGTATGAGGATAATGTAAGTGAATCTTTCGCGGTAATGAGAGGGCAGTTAAGGATTCACACGGCTAACGACATGCAGTGAATAGGGGAACATTGTATCGGAGACATGAGCAACCGTATCAACGAATGGGAATCAGCTCATTTCGCAAGCTGCTTAAATGCCTGGTAAACAAGACGATAATTTGTGATTTTAGCTTAATGTAGCAGCGGCATTATTTTTAAATTAAAGGTACACTCCAGCCACCGCTTTGAAATGTTACTTTCCAATGGTTGTTATCACAAAAATAACTTTTGCTGCAAAGCCTTTTTAAGCCTTTAATGTGGAATGCTATGTGAATTTGTGCAATTGCGACCGAATATATCCACGTCTAAAAAGCAGTAAACAATTTCACGTCGCAGACGAAATAATAAATATGTCTGATGAAAAGGGGACTTTATCGATCACAAAATAGACATTTGTCCAAATGTCTAATTATTTAAAGAAGCATTAGTCAGAATGTTAAATTTATTTCGAGTTAAAAGCGTTTTTTAAATGAAATTGCAAGGTAGTCAGTTGCTTTGTCCACTCATTGACGAATTCTACTACAAATCGCACACTCTACTTGCCTTTAACTGCATGGAATGGAATGAAACATCGAAAAAGGGGCAACATTCATCTTGAAGGCAGTGGTGTTTGATCACACCCTAGATACATTTGTTATCAATTTACTCATTGTAATGTCACAGTGAGTACGTGCTAGTTATGAGTTGTTAACCTCTGTTTAGTCACTGTACACAAATTTCTCAAAGCAAAAGCAGACATTTTGGGCCAACGTGACGGTTTTTGTAGCCCATTCTCTACATTTTCTGTACTCTGGCAACCATTTTCTGCCTGTGTCTCAATCATTTTGAGCAAATATCTTTTTTAAACATCAACACACACTGTTTTATTGGATGGAAAAAAAACGTAATTACCACGAAGAAGTCCTCTAGCGACGGTTGTTTATTTGCTCTACCATGATTGGAGCTGACAGTGTACAAGGGAATTGATGGACAAGAAATGTAATTGGTCAGTGTGAGATACATTAATCTGTCTAAATTCACAATATAAACCATTAATTTTAGAGACTATCAATCACTACGGAGAAACTCCCAGCATTAGACCGAAGAACTGGCAGTACAGCTGTCTGTTTACATCCACTAATATAAAAATACTTGTCGACCTTTGTCTTTAAAAATTTTCACAATTACATTTTGTAGATTTTTTGAGATTAAATTAAAATTTAAAGCAGACACATCTCCGAGATCTGCTGTAGTTTTAAAAGCAATGGCCACAAAGCATCGGAACGCCAAACTAAAAGTCTGCGTGAGTTACACAACTTATCGGAATAAAGAGAGTTTAAAGTGAAAACTGCATTTTTGATGGCACGGCATTTTATTCGAATTACAACAAGGAAAAAGAGGTTGCATCTAAAGCCTGGGATTCAATTTGTAGTGTCCTTGGTGCCGACGTCGTGCCTTAAGAAAGGTGTAATTATTGGTACTGTTGCGGGCCCCAGCATGTGGTCTTGAACCACGCCGGGATCACGGAAGTAACCCTGGCCCGATTACGCTTGCCTGATACCCGCGATGAAGAAAAAGACCGGAGAGGACGGGACACAACCGTTTACTTCAGAGCTCAACCTCGTTGGTGTCGTTGTGTCGTGTGTGGGGTTTGCGCGTGTGTATTTATACCTCGGATGTGTGAGTCATACATGCGCTAACATCGAGACCTAGGCGTGGGGATAATCCAAATATTCGTGTGAATGAAGGGGGAGTTGAGGATTAAGAGGTTGAATCAACACGGTTCACAACAGCTCTACCCCTTAGCGAGAGGATTTGGAGAACTGTTTCGTCCACTGGCGTTCTTGAAAGGTAGGCCGAAGGTTTTTGCGTGATTGGGATGTGGTTGCCGATGTGGGTCGGACTGAGAATTCTCTCTCCCTTAGCAGAATAATTCAGCTAACCTTTTCTTCCAATACGGATTCTGAAAGGTGGGCCGTAGGTTTCTGCGGTCGAAATGTAGCCCATGTGAAGGCAGAAATTAGGCGGATTATCGTACGCCGAAGGTGGCTAAGACACTTGGCATAGTTGTTCGTTTTTGGAAGTCATTCGAGGTGAATCGTTGTTGTCAATACAACCTTTTCTACCACTTGGATATCTGATAGGTTGATCGTTGGGGAAGTCGTGCATGATGCCGAAGCGTAAGATCGTTGATATCTTTCGATGCGGTAGACAGTCGAGAAACAGGGGGCAGAATCGGTCGAAAATATCTGCTGGATGCTGGTCAGAAGTAGAGAGATGCAGTCATGTTGAATAAAAGAGAGAAACTCGATGGATAAGGCCAGGTTGCAAAAAGGAGAGAGGTTTGTGCTAATGAAAATGAAAGGATTGTCGCAGAACGATAGGTAGCCGCCACCAGGTGATGGGAGTCGAAGGGCATTGTTTAGAGCTTAGAAGCATCTGGAGATTTGGCGTCGTCCGGAGAATTGTGGTAATGGGTCGCCAAAAGTCAGTACAACGAAGGTCGATGTTTCGGACACCAGAAGGTCGATATTTGTCCAATGTCGGGGTTACCAATTGTTGTGGGCCCCAGCATGTGGTCTTGAACCACGCCGGGATCACGGAATTAACCCTGGCTCGATTACGCTTGCCTGATATCCGGCGCCATGCCGGGAAAAAGGGCAACCCTGTGTCGGTGGCGAAGCGATCGGATTAAGGAGTTGAACAAACACGGTTCACGACAGTACAAACTGTAGTGGCTTGTGGTCTAAGCACTACTCTAGTTAGCAGCCCGTAACAACCCGAGAATGAATAGAAGAGAGGCGACAGAGAACATGACCGTTTATAAACGTCACGCCATCCAAGTGTGTCTTAGCGTATGGATGAGTGAACGGATGACAGGCATCGGATACAGCAACCAATGCGAAAGGGGATGAGTCATTGTCACCATCAGGTCAGTGACCAGGGTTCACTCAGGCGCGATCGCTGTTAATCCGCTACATAACGTCCTAGAAGTGGCGATTTCGATCGCAGTGACCAGCCGCGCCCCGGACAACAGCCTCGACAGTTTGAAGATGCGCAATTGCAAATTCCACTGCATGGAAACTCAGTGTAAGCTCAATAATAACTTGCAGCTTGGAGGTTGGGTCTCTCATGTGTTGACTAAGCACATTCCTTTCACTGCTTGCCCACTGGCAACAAACAGGGGACTTCTTATGGAAAATTGTGATGAGTGAAATGTCGAAACAGGACATCCACTTAAAGAAGGTTCATTTTTGCATCTGTTGGGGGGCGAGAGGGGTGCACTGTACTAAGAACTTCTAGAAATTGTTTTTTAAACGGGGACTTTGGAACTCTATAGCCAAAAATTGAACAAAGTGAGCAAAGAACTTGATCAGAAAGAGCCATTTGCTGGGCAAGACGGCAGGCACGTCATACTGCTGCTGCATGACGACGCTCGACTACCTCACATTGCTTGCACGACTCGGAAGATCCTCTTGAACGTGGAATGAGAAGGATCCAAAGGGTGTACCTTATTAAGAGCTCCAGGAAAATAGTCGTCAAATGGTGGCGGCTGCTTCTAAAGCACGGGGGGATCATTTTGACGTGTTGGTGGCGACGTTGTGTCTTATTAAATGCCTGCAAGGAGGGTGTACTTTATCAAGAACTCAGTTACGATTCCGATTAAACGGTGACTGTGGAACGCTACAGCCGTTTATCGATTGAATTGTGTTCGCTCACGTTTACTGTGGTCGTTTGCTGCTCGCCACGAATCTGGAATGTAAATCGTAGGTAAGGATCCACGTGCGTTATTTGTTTTAAACGCTATGACTAATTTACTTCAAATAATGCAAAAACTACAAATTAGCAGTTTCTTGTCAACCACCAATTCACAAATTGGACTTGGAGCTGTGCGTTTCCAACAATTTTTTACTGGAAAATTAGTAAATCTAGTTAAATAGAGATTAAATTTCAAGTGCAAAAGTCTTTTTGTGTGAATATGCGTCAATTTATTTACATATAGGGCTTCGATGGTTAAACAACAGGAGAAGTGCCCAAAACGTGCAACAAACATAGGTGGCTAGAGCAGGAGACGGTCGGTTTCCATTTGCTGGACGTCGGCAAAGTCGCCGCCAGCAGCCTTCTTCTCCTCGGCCGCCTTGTGTGTGGCGATTTTGCTCTCCAAAATCGCCACCACGTCCGTCCAGAGCTTCATCTGTCTCAGGTTCGCCGATTCGTTGGTTTCAAGGTCTTTTAGTTCCTCCTTCAATGTCGTAGCAAGGGCTTCCTGTTCTGATATTCTCTTTAAGTACATATCTCTTCAAAAAAACAATTTAAAAAAAAGATATCAATTGTCAAAAATGTACACAATTTTGGCATGTGTGTAACCAATAGTTGAGTTGTTTTAATTCTGAAATACAGCAGTCATGTATTGAAAAGCAAAATGACAGTATCAGTTTTTCACACTAGACTAAAAATTAACTAATTATAAGTTAGCAGTTTACGAGCATCACGGTCGAACCTACTACTATTCAAGACGAAATTAGTAGTATAACTGATCGCGACATGCTGAAAGCATTTCTAAAGTAACAGGGCACAAATATGAGTTGGTGTCGAACAGAATCCTAGTTCAAAACCTACGACCAGAATCGTTCCTACACCAAAATGCACAACTTAAATGAATCATGAGCAGAAAATTCAACTATAAATAGGTAAACGTAACAGCTTTTTTGATGATAAATGCAATGAATTGCAGTAAACAGATTCACAAGCTGCAAAAAGTCCTTAAGCATTATCTGTTTCCGTGTTTACGTGTATTTGCATGTAGCCTTAATTGTAATATAACAAAACACTCCCAGATGCGTCTCGGGTCATTAAACAACAAGAAAGCCACTTGTTCACTTCTCCAGGACAGCAGAAAAATCAAAACAACGTGGAAAAAGAATCCAAAAATGAAATTAAATCAGTTGAATTAATTGCGCCTATCTGATCTCAAAATCAAGTTATGATTCATTCTCACAGTTCTATTTTTGAATTCGAGGACAAACACCGAGTTTTCAGAAGCAGTCAACAAAATATTTGTTTTTTGACACGGAAATTTACATAATACCCGCGGGAAATGTGTACACGATCAAATGGCGAAAACACAGCCTTACAAGCACACAACATTCTTGGCCTGAATCGGTGTTCAAGCCATCCACGCGTCACCCATCCCCATGGCCTCAGAACAATTCACTGTCAAAAGCATAAAGGGTTTTTTGTGACAAAATAATAAGGCGAATCGCTCTAGATTTAGTCAACCGTGATTGCAATCAAATTCCGTACAAAAATACCTCTGAAAACGGACATTTAGCTCAATTATTTAACAGATAATTTAAATAGAGGTACTAACAGCCAAATGGTGCGTGTGTGTCATTACTAAGACCGGCTTCATCTGAGCGAAAATACCAAAATCTTTGAACTTTTACAAGAAATAACCTTGAATTTTAATTAACCGACTCTAAAAGTACTCAAAGCAAGCAAAATATTCAAAGTTGTTGCCACTGTGTTCGGGGATTGATTTTGGTTAATCGTTTTTTGTGTCCTTGAATCCGTGGGACAAATTTATGACTTGAAACGGTAACGATCAGCAAACAGGAGTGAGCACGGAATCGATCGATAAGCTTGAACACGCTTCACGTAAGAGTGGTGATCAACTTGGGATCAGAACTTCAATCGATTATCCCAAATGCATTTCACGTCGTGATTTCCAACACAAATTAACACTGTACCCACGCTAAACCAACCACACAGTTGCTATAGGAACAAAAAAGGTTGAGCTTTACACAGGTTGAGTACCGCTACAGAGCTTCTACAAAACTAGAATCTGATAGGTTACAACGCTGACGCATTCCAAGCACCCACCGGTAGCTTCGACGTTTCACGGTGATGCTCGTCACACCAGTCGCCGTCCCGTCGCCGGTGGCTGCACCAGTCGTCGTGAGGTAGCCACGCATCTCCTCTTGAAGACGAAATTGCTGGGCTTTGAGCAGAGCCAGGGCGGCGTTGAGGTAGTGGTAGCGTGACTCCTCCACACGCACCTCTTCGCGTAGAACGCGGACCTCCTGATCCAGACGCAGCGTCTGGGCATCGCGACTCGCTACAAACGCGTCATATTCCGACTTCTTGTCGGCATGCAGTTGGGTTAGTTCCTTAGTTAAGATAACAGCAGCAATTATTAGGAAATGACTTGGACGTATCATGATGTTCAGCCTTATGCGTGGAATCTTGAACTACTTCTGTTCATTATAGTGTCCGAATTAGGTGTTAGGTTATAGGATTTTGCCTTAATCGCGTTGCAGTTTTACAAAATTAAGAATTTAAGTCAAACTGAACAGATGTGTGTAAATTTATGTAAGCAAATCCAAGAAACGATTATTGTGTATCAACAAAAAACCGTAGCCTCAATAACTGACTATGTTTTGCCTTGAGTTTGAAACAATTTCCACGAAATGATCACGTACAAATGTGTCAACAATCGTAACGGAGGTCATGATGTCTATCGACATTAAACAAGTGCCATGACTAGTCGAATGAGAATATTTGCTGTATTTGAGGAACAAGTAGACAGTTTTTTTTACTGATAAATGCAGTGAGCTGTAGTAACTAGATCCACAAACTACAAAAACGTCTAAACGGTTGTATACAGTTCCAATTCAAATAACGTTTCTTTACCACTAATTCCAAGCCTTGTTTAATATATCGATAGGACAAAAGCTTCACAGCCAACCACCTAGTATTCAAGCATTTTCGGTTGTAGTTAAGGCAAAATACGTGGCATATGTCAGTTTTGTTTACGTGTGTCTTCACTTGTTATGTTACAAAACTCTTTTAGAGTACAAGTAGAAGTCATACGAGTTTATGAGGCCGAATCAAAGCGAACGAATGTGTGTACAATGTTTCAATAACTCTAAACTTAAAATCACATTCAGACAGCTTTTGTTGTCCTGAATTTGACACATTTTTTCCTACCTACAATAGTGTCAACAATCGTAGCGGCAGCAATGTTGTCTATCGTCATTAAACAAAGTGCCGCGACGAGTAGAACATGCGGCCAAACACCTGCCATCCGCTTCAGTCGAAACTGCCGTTTTATAGCCGAGTTTGTTGTGTCGCAAAGTCCACTGATGTGCCTACATCAACAGAGTCGTTAAAACTCAATAAAAGGTGACAATCCGCTTGTAGAATATTGCGATGCCGTTAATCCTAATCACTAACTGACTGCTTTCGAGCGTGTCTAACAAAACGTCCCCGCATGAGTGTGATTAAACTTGCAATAGGATTCAGAGGCAGGATTTTGCGCAGTTCCTGTCAGAAGAAAACCGAAATAATTAGTAAAAACAAGCTGCCTGATCTTGAATCGCCACCTAGGAGGTTGTAGCGACCAGCAGGCGAGCACTGTTAGCAGTCGTGAGCGAACACCAATCAATCGATTTTTGTGAATGTACTTCACGCAACTTCGTTCGCTCAGGGATCGATACCTAGTGGAGCTATATAAACGCACTTGTTATCCTATACAAAACAACACAAGAATTAGTTACTCTACTCGGCTGGCGTGACGCGAATAAACGGTCGCGTTCTCTTTCGACTCTGTCTTCTCTCTTCTCGAGTTGTAACCTGCTGTTATCTATAGGGTTTTTGAGGTAGTGTTAATTTAGGCCTCTACAAGATCATACCTGTGCTTTGACCCGAAGGGGCCGGAGTTCACGGATGAGGGGTGCAAGTTTGTCCCGGCGAGCGTTTATCTGTTGGTTAAGTCGGGCCACCATTCCGGACATTTCTTCTAGCACAGTGCCCTTTCTTTGGTTCATATTTGCCGTCTCTTCGGATACCTTTTGAGAAAGTAGGGAGATGATCTGTCAGAAATTCGACAATTGGATCCTGGCTGTCTACTGAGTGGATTCAATTTTTCGTGTTTTTATCATGTTTGCATACTTAAACATCATCGTTAAAGGCCTGATCACAGCAGCTGTAAGTTGACACAAGACACGCAGCAATAGATTTTACCTCGATTCATGATTCAAACTAATGGTCAAGTTTATTACGTTACTTTAGGGAAAACGTGTAATTAAACAATTTGAGTGTGTCTGTACTTCGTTTGACCACAATTGTAACATCTCCAAAAGTCAGACTAGGTTGAACTCAAATTGCTAAAAATTGAGTTGCTGGAATAATGGGACATAATATGGCGAAATGGCCATCTTTCATGTGCAGATGGGTCGCGACACTTAGATGATGCATCGGACTAAACTCCGTCGACGACACTAAATCGGCAGGCAAGCATTTTGCAGGAATTGCTAGTCTACACAGTTCAACTGCTGACAGCAATGGAACACCGAAACACATGTCTATTGGCGTGAACAGGTCTAAGTCTTCAAGACAAAGTTAACGCAGACTTCAGCGAAGAACACTAAGTTAAATCAACTCAAAGGTTCTTCAAGAGTAAGAGGTGTTGGTGACGCCAGCATTCCTAGAATGACTCATTGCTAATTGCCATTGTAACAAAACCCAATGTCACCTTCATCTGTGTTATCCCACCTTAGCTGAGGCCTAGTCCTGTACCTTTGCGTTACAAAAGTATTTGCGTATTGATGATTTGAGGGTGTAGTTCTGGTTACGGGTAAAACACTGCAGTCGTGAATGACAAATCATGGCTGCTCCCTTCAACAAAAGAGCACCTTTTCCAGTTTAGCCATGGTGTCCCAATAACCGCTCATTCCTTGTGATGCCTCAACCGAGTCCAATTTCCTCTTGGCCTGACGCTCGACCTCCTTGAGGAGGTCCACGGTTCGACTTAGAATGCCTTTTTCAGCGCGAAGATTAATCAACAGGGCCCGTTTTTCCTTGTAAGTGGCATTTTTTGTGCGCAGTGCCGTGACGTAACTCTGAAACTGTAAGCACAAACGGTTGAGTAGGTAAATTTGCTACTAGGATAGGTAAAATGCAGTTTATTGTGCTGTTGAGAAGCTAAGTGAATTGTTACCAAAAATAAGTTCTGCAATTTAGCAGTAGTGGTGTCTTCTGTGGCCAATCACACAGAAGTGAAACCTACTTTCCGTCTCCTGATATTTATTAAATTCGTGGAACTTGCAAAAATGTAACTGAATTATTTAAATAATGTTCGTACACTCAAAATCATATATTAAAGTATGTACAGTGAGCGTTGAGTTGAATCCGGTATTTGAATTTTGCGTGCGTGCGAGGTTGTTTGAATTAATATAATCGATAAATCAAAATACGCGGAACTTTGAGCTGTGACTTAAACAATTAGCACTGATGTCGCTAACAAATAGGTGGAAATTATTGATGTGCTTGGTCGACCTTTGTAACAAAACATATGTAATTTACCACAAGACAAATTCAGCATTCAAACGGAGGTAAAGCTTGCAAAATTGCATCCCAAACTTGTTAAATTATGATAATAACAGCAGCAATTCTTCATCGCATAATGCCGAATCTAGCGAAGTTCAGTTGATCCAATAAGCTGCTACTGATGATTGACTTCGAATTCCAAGTTCAACTATCACAGGTTGACTAGTAGTTCGTTTAAAATAGTCCACGTTAAGACTTGCAAGTGTATGCAATTGCTTTACTACAAGCCTTATCAAAAAATCAAGTATAGAAATCCCCTATTTGTGGTCAAAATGACGTGTTAGGCGATAGCTTTACTCGAGTACATGATAGTAAGCGGCCAATTCAGAAGGATTTAACTAAGGTCACGGAAACTAATAACGACATTTCGACTACCTGGGCAACGGCCAGCACCCAAACTACAGCACACATCGCTAACTCACATCCTCAGCCTTAGGAACGCACAGTGACGAGGCGGTGTCGGTGCCAGCGCCCAGTGTCGACTTGGAGACGCCAGCTCCAGTTTCCTCGACAGCCTTGGCTAGTTTGACCCGCACCTCCTCGAGTTGTCTAGCCTTGGCGAGCTGTTTTTCTCGGGTCTCTGCAAGCGCCGAGGCTGTCGACGCCTTCCTGTTGGCCGCGATGTTCGCCTGCTGACGAAAGAGACCCACCTTGTCTTCGAGCGGATCCGACGCCACCATACGCTTCTCCACCAGTCGATTGGTCTCCGCGTGGACTTCTCTAAGCTATTTACAAAAGTTACATTGATAGTGGGAGCATTCTCACGTAGGCAGGGAAACGAATAGTCTGCTTGCGGACGTGTCAAGCATATTTTCGGTGACAAATGAGGCATAGAGGTTGGGAAATGTAGAAAATGCTTACGAACTCGAGTCCACCCTTGTAAACATTCGTGAAATCAAGTTGATTTGAAGTACTGGTATTTAGAAAAGAATCGATTTTTGATAATTTAGTCTACGTTAGTGTTCGAAGATATAATTTTACCAACTACAAAAAGCAAAAGCTTGGGCAACTTTGCAAAATTTCTATAACTTTTTCTTGGTATGCATTGTCCACGAAAATACCATAATTAAGTCTTGCTCGCATTTAATAAAAAAACAATGGTAACACTAATTGCGTTACAAACCAACGCCGCGTTACGACCTTGCCAGTAACGAACTTAGCACATAATTGTTGGTTGTCGGAGCATTATTACCTAGGCTTTTTATCATTTGGCAATAAAAACATGAGTTTAGTATCCTAGGTCGACTAAAAACATCTAACGGTGCCTTGACTCGAGCAATTTTATTATTCTCATTGTGCATTGGTTAAATTAAACTACACTGATCACCAATCACTTCGCATCCGTTTAAAACCAATCACCTTCTGATTGAGCTGATCGATAAAAGCGTGCGTCATCGCTGGGTGTCCCGCGACTCGTGCGAGGTCCTCAAGATACATTTTTGTCATTTCGATCTCCTTGGGCTGCTTGTCCGTGGCAAGATATTGATTAACCTTAACTTCCTCCTCCAGGCGATTCAAAAGGCCTACGTTGAAAACCTCTCGTTACTTAATTACAAAATAGTAATGAATACACAGGTCATTTTGAAAGAATTCTTTGAAATTGTTTAGAACTATCTTCGCTTGCAAGGCGGATTTTCGTATAAGCCAAAATGGCCGCAGAACTGGACGTATACATGAAGCAGAATGGGAGTTACGGTGTGGAAAGTGTGTTAAAACTACGTTAATTAACATGCACGCCAAAAAGTCGTATTTCTTTCAGTGGCGAATGTAGAATAACACAAGAATATTATCATACTCTGTGCTGTGCAGTCTGATGCTTTCCTACGAAGATCATTCGCCTGCTGACGAGTCTCAATGATTTTTCGTTCCAAGGTGAAAATCTAAAATTTTATGGGAAAAAAGCCAACAAATTGCCCCATCGACGGACACAAAATAAGTGCAGAATGCAAAATTGCAGAAAAGTTTATGGAAAGACATTAAAATTCAGCTGGCAACTTCAACTTACCAGAGTCCGCTGCTCCTGAAGCTGCCTCATGACCTTGCCCTCTCTTTCACGCTCAATTCGCAGTTTTCTAGCCATGTCAAGCATCATGGTGCTAGTCGGAAACATTTCTAACTTGTAAGGGCAAGAAGTAAAAAAAACAGAATATCGTAAGATTTAGACACCATTCGCCAACTTTATGTATGAAATTAAACAGTGCTTTGTAGACAAGTGACTAGTGTAACCACAAGTCCTGATTGAAAAATGTGGACTGCTGATACATGAATTTGCGATACCTTCTTTTTCATCTTAGAGATTCGGCGCACAATCTGATCCTTTTCTTCTTCCATGGCTGCGATGTCGTTCCTGATTTCAGACGTCGTCAGGCCCTCTGATTTTAGCAACTCCAATTGCTTGTGTGTTTCTTTAAAGGTTTCTATCAAAACTTCGTGCTGCAAAAAGAGAACACAGTTGTCATAAATTGTGATTTGAATATAAGACTTAGCTTGAAAATAACACTGTTTTGGCATAAAGACAGTTTTGGTTGTTGTAATAAAAACCAGCCAACACCAAATAAAGGGAAATAAAATCTTGGATTATCCACCAAATGATTGGAATTGGTCTATCAAGAAGTTCAGTTTTGAATCAATTAAATCACCAAATGTACACTGCTTAAAATATTCTGCATTGTTTGATTTGGCCATCAATCTCGTACATGTTTACGCCTACATGAAGAAATAAAAGTTAGAGTGCATGAAAGCTTTCTGCACAGCCAAGATTTTCACTACACATTTTCTGAGTTAATTAAATAATTTATGATGGCACCGGTTGCTGGATTACACCCACCATGAGTTGTAAAAACCACGGAGCTAAAAATATTTTAAGTTTTAAACTTGTGTATGGCAAAAGGGAATCTCGGCTTAGCACTCACGGAAATTCGCACTGTAGCTCTGTCATGATTGAGTGATTTTGTTAGTTTAAGCAGAAATATTTGGCAAAAAATATTTAAAGCCTCAAATGTGAAATAAAATTAGGGGAATTAACTTTTTCTTAACTATCGGGGAATCATTTTAAGATTCTTAATTTAAAAAATCCTCACACGATGGACATTGACCCGAAATTACGATTGCCTGAAGCAATGGAATGTTTTTCGTAAGGTTAATAACTAGTAGGTTGAAAAAAACGATAAAGTGTTGAAAATCTAAAGCTAAGAAATATGCTATAAATGGATATGTTAATATTGTTTATCTAATTTTAACCCACTTCTGAATACAGCTTGCTCAGTTCTGGATCCCGTAGCAAATCCGAAGGGAGTTGAACCTTCGTGAGATACTTGGCCAAATAGGCTCTCTTTTTGTAGTCAACGAAGTTTTTTAACAATGTTTCCAAAATAGGATATATGTAAAATTTATCCCCAACAATTAGCCCCTCACAGAATTTAGCCCTGCGAACAGTTAGGAAAGAAATTAAGAGGAATTACAGATGATCGGGATCAGTTGGCACTTTGTATCGAAAAATGCGCAAAGCATCCAGTATTCGCATTGTTGTTTGCTCTGGAGCTTCTTCTCGTATGTCGATTTTATGCTTAAATCTATATAATTTATTATGTTCGCACTACTTTTGGGTCCAATTCGCCAAGAACATCGCTTAATATCTGCAGCAATAAACATGGCTCTAGCCCATCGAACGTTATAAAGTTAAAGTTTCGATTAAATGGTGGTGCAGTAAGTTTTTCGGTTATGAATTTTAACATTTCACTCATGGTTAGCGGTCGTCAAGGCCGCTGACACTAAGGTCGAAGCGATTAATAATGGTACAAACAAACGGTAAAAACGAATATTTTTGCAAACATAAATTAATGCTAAATAGATTAATAAAATTTTGATAAAGTTGCACATTTAAAACTGAAATGCATGTTTTCAGTTGCTATTACTACGAAAACAACAAAGGTGATATTTCATCAATGAGTGACAGGAACTATTCCAGTGTTAGACTAAACAACATAACATAATTTTTTAAGTAATCTTTATAGTCATGATTACGTTAAAAACATCGACCAGCAAGTACTATAAGAAACAAAGTGTCCAAAATATGCAATCTGCCACAATGATACCGCTTTCTTCGCCAATAATTTGTCTATAAGTTATTTAATGAACTTGAGTTGAGGTCTAAATTGGAGAACAAAATCATGAATTTCTTTGGTTGCTTCAATTTTGTTTATCCCTGTCACTACACAGTGTTGACCATTTGAAAAATTCCCTATCTTTAAACTGGAAAAAATTGCCCCTAAATCTGACTGTATGCGAAAGTATTGACGTCAATCACACATGCCTATTTTTATTCGTTGCTCTTATCAGTCGCCTGTTATGCACGCTCACTTATCCGCACCCAAAAAACAGCTGGCGTATCCGTCACTGCTTTTCTTGTCTCTGATCTCGGGTTGGTACCGCCTATTAACAAATGGCGTTAGAACTTGGTGCAACCAAAACCACTACACTTGTTGACTTCGTCAGGAGTATATACTTCTTGGCTAGGCTTCTATCGCGAACACAGCATTCCACCGGTTAGTTCCAATGCTGAGGTATTGTTTATGCAAATTAACGCTTTCAATAGGCTGGATTTTAATGCAGAATAAGCATTTTAATCCAACTTTTTTGGTCCCCTTTCAACGCACAGTTGTCCAGTGTTTTCAAATAAAAATTACTGAATTTCTAGTGATAGTTGCTATCCTCCAAAAATATTTTACGTTGCAACACACAATAAATTACCAGGAATTTGAACCTGAACTTTACATCGAACAGGAAATGGATCAGACAGTAGAACGTACAACCAGTTCAACTCTGAAAGCCCTCTTCGTAATCGACTGGGCGGACCTCATAACCGAGAGGATCCAAACGTTACCTCGACGAATGTGGAGGTAATGCGAAGTACTTTACGCTGCATACAGGCCCAGATTAACTATACAGAATGTAGCTGGAGAAAAGAACCTATCGCCTACTACTTCTTAAGGTTTTAAGCAATCCCAACGCTCAGAAAGACAGAAAAATGTGGCCAGCCCACCCAAAACACCCCAATTTAGACACAGTAAGAACTGCACAATTATTTCAAAATTTCAAGCATTCATACACAGGATGAGCAGAAGCGAAACAGACCAAATGATAGCGTTAAATACAAACACCACTGCAGACGCCACCTATCGCTGGCCGTGGCCGTACCCCTGCTGCTGACTGTACCCAAATCCACCTCCGGAGCCCCCTTGGGGTTGAGGGCCACCCGGGTGCGCTGGCGCCGCAGAGCCGGACTGCTGGCCGCTGTTGAATGGCCAATTGCCAGAGGCTGGAGGGGCGAAATAACCACCCGCATCATGGCCATAAGACTGCGCCTTGGAGCCATATCCAGAAGGCCCCTGGGAAAGATCTCCTGCGGACTTTGAGGCGGCGTCCAAGGCTGAGGCGTAGAGAGAAGTTCCCGCTCCTGACGTTGCTGATGAGGTTGCACTACCAACCGGAGTATTTCCGCCGGCATTGAAACTACCAGCGTACCCAAAGGGGGAATAGTTGGAAGAACCATAGTTGTAGTTCTAAAAAACGATTTACAATTAATGTTGTTGAACCGTCTCGAACGTGGCTATCGATAGAACTTGCTTAAAACTTCTGTGCAACAAGATAAACGTCCCAAGCCTTACCAGACACAGTCCAACGAATATCAAGTATGGATAGGATCGGAATTTACTAGAAACTTGCAACTACTTTATAAGAGCGTGTTTCAGAAAAGCACAATACCGAAAGCACTTCAATATAAATCACGACATTTCCCGAAACGCTCTTGACAGGATAACTGACTCCAGCATCCAGCAAATTCGCTGCGAAACCAGACCGACGGCAACAGGAGCAAAAAGATTTCAACACGAACGCCTCAGATTCACGAGGTTATTCTTTCAGTAACAAGCTTGACTATGAATAATGCTAGGTTAAATTATTATGAACACGCACTCGAATCTAAGCGCAGAATAATTGAAATTGGCGACACCGTCGGAACGACCAGTCATGCACGATGGGTTTTAAGGCATGTGATTGGAGGTAAGCACAGCACTTACCTGTTGACCAGGTTTGGAGGAAGCGCCGCTTGGTTGGCCATAACCGCCTGAACTGCCGCCGCCACCACCACCGTAGCCCTAAAAAGTTATCAATCAGCGTTACCGGGAGGGAAATCCACGCAAGGCGCCCAAAAGACCATCGTGAACTACCTGCTGAGATTGTGGACTTGGCTTAGGCTGTCCACCGCTTTGCTGGCCGAATCCGCCTGGACCGTAGCTCTGAAACAGCAGTTTGCAACATCAACGTGTTCGTTGTGGGTGTGTTTTTAAACCAATAACAATTAACAAGTGGCCTTTTTACACGGTTCTCAGAGAAATATAAAAAAGGAAAGAAAAATGACTGAAACACCACCTGTTGGAAGGGCTGAGCAGGTTTGGGAGGGGTGCCGCCTTGTTGGCCGTATCCCGTGTAACCCTGCAAAGGTACACAGCAAAGTCGATCACGATCAGGTCTAAGACCGCGTTTTAACCGCAAATGTGCAGCAGCAGTAGGCGGCATTTTACTGGAATTACCTGACGGTCAGATTTCGGTGGACCACCGGCCTGTTGACCGTAACTACTGCCACCGTAGCTCTACAACACACAGAATGACATTAGTGTGCATGACGTGTTTCACTTAAATGAGCGCTAGCGACAAAAAAACGGCATATGCAAAAAAAAGAACGACGTGTCGGTGGCTCATGCAACATACTTGCTGCGGTGGCTTGCTTAATCCGCCGCCCTGCTGCCCATAGCCAGAACTGCCATATCCCTGAAAAAGTTAGATGTAAAAGTAACGTGACAGCACCACTAGACCGGAATATGTGGCACGACTGAAAATGGTGACACAGGCTTACCTGCTGCGATTGGTGAACGGGCTTGGTCTGACCGCTGCCGTACTGTCCGTAGACGTAACTATCGTATTCCTACGCAGAAACAATCCAATTACCCAACCAGTTTTCTAGCTTGCGGGGTAGTATCGGGTCACTAACGGCCAAAGAATTTTAATCTCAGTCCACAAAACAAGTGACGAGCTGAGTGCTGGTGTGGCTTCAAGCCGAAACATACTACTCAGTGGTCATTAGGCTGCCTGCGGAAACGACGAGATAAGTTTGGAAGGCCTGCCGCTTCATGACAAGTTCTGGAACTGTGGTTTGTGGTCCACAACGACAACACATTGAAGATATCAAGCAAGAAGGAATATCACTCACGTCTTGAGACGGTTGGCCGTGTTTTGATTGGAGGCCTGCCTGTTTCCCACCCTGCTGGTCGCCACCGTAGCCCTAAAAAAAAGCATTGCGAGATGTTAGCCACGAACAGACCGAGGGGAGAAAGTAAAAGGCTCGAGAGGAACTGACATGTTGCGATTTTGGTGGACCGCCGCCTCCTCCGAAGCCCTACAACGGAGCAAAAGCCAAACCGTCTAGCTCCGAGTAAGACTACCTCAACCACAAAGTCAACTAGTGGACTCGAATGCACTCAACTTAAATGGAAACTTGGGTAGCGTGTGTGTGTGTGTGTGTGTGTGTGTAGTTACCTGAGATTGTGATTGCTGTCTTCCGCCGTAGGCATCATAGCTCTAAGGGGATCAAAATAGACGCTGATTCGGAAGAGCATTGGTGTAACGCCAGATCAAAAACACAAACAGCTAAATAATACCTGTGGCTGACCTCCTGACTGCGACTGTTGGCGACCGTAGCCACCACCATAGCTGCCCTGAAAAAGAATTGGCATCGTGTGCGCGAAATCACAAAAATATTACGGTGTGCAACAATGCACGCGTTAGTGGTGCTTAACTAGAGAAAACTAGAGCTTAGTCACCGTTTTCCGTTGCCTTGGCAATAAAATCCAACGCTGATGATAATTCCATGTCACAGACTGAACGAAATCTAAGACTAACTGTTGGATAGTGAGGGATAAGCATGAAAATCCAATAGTGCATATGGAAGTTGAGGCAAGACTTCAAATTTAAGGTTGTTGAATGCAGTTTCGACGTGATGACAAGGCGATCCACAACGACCCGTCCCCCAATCTAGTGGAACAAGCTCGTAGACTCGTAGACTTTAAAAGCTGGAATTTGTACGTGGGGTAATTCAAGTGACAAAAAATGTGGTCTACAAAGCGCTCCACAATTTAGGTGAACGTAAATAAGCTATGGAACGCTTCAGGTAGGCAACAAACGCGAAATTTCGCAAAGCTTACATGCGATTGGCCAAGAGGTTTGTGATCTTGCTGTCGACTCGAACCTTGCGACGAGAACTCGCCTCCGTAATCCTAAAATTAAGCGATTCAAGAGTGAAGATTATGGATCAAAATAACTAATATAGTTTGAAAAAAAAACACGCTCATTCTCTCGGTTTCAAAGTTGGTCCACGAAAGGAAGCTTCCACCAGAACTAAAATCGATTTACCCCCAGAAATTGGCTCGATGAAATGGCCAGTCCGAAATACCAAACCATATGGACTCGGTTTACAAGTTTACAATTCAACAAGTTAAATTAGTCAAGGAAAAACTTCACGCTGATGACAAGGTAGCCATGACTTGTAATTAGATCGTGCGGAAGTCTTGGTTAAACGGCAACGAAAGGAAGAAATGCGTTACAAGTGGATTATTTTGTAAAAAAGGCGACACGCCACACCACTTGGACAGTATTTACGCAAATGAGTGGTGCTTGATTGCAAACAGTGGCCCACCTGCTGATGAGACGAGGGCTGTCCGCTTCCAGGCGGCTGATGACGCGCCCCACTGCCACTACCTTGCGGAGTGTATCCGTAGCTGAAGTTCTAAAATGCCGAAATTACCCCACATGCTAGTGTGGTCAAACGAGACAAAAGCTTACACTGGCCACGTCAAATCCAGGATACGCCAAAGAAGTTTAAAGTGAATGATGGGAAACCACGGCCCGGACTTATTTGTAAAGCGGCCGTGACGAATTAATTAATGAATCTTACGTAGGTCATTAAACCATCCACTTTCGTGGTATCGTTGTCACAATTCAAGCCTACACGCACGGTAGGATGCGTGGAATGTAAAATCTACGGTAATTGGACCGAAATTGCCAAAACCTGCGACTTAAAGCGGATTAGTACCTGGGAATGATTTGAGGCCTGCGGATTGTAGCCACCACCAGATCCATAACCGCTCTAAAATATCAAAATGAAAATACACAGGAAAAGCGCTAACCTGCTGAAGATGAATTTGAAAATATTTGTTTTAATTGCCACGTCCTAGACACGGAATTGGAAATTTTACTTGGCCCAACGCTCACCTGGGATTGCTGCGCTTGTGGGCCTCCTTGATCAAACCGTGATCGAGGAGGCGGGTTGGACGATGCTGGTGGATTTTGTCCACTTTTGCCGCTACCATAGGACTGCTGAACGCCAAACTTTGATCCGTATCCTAAAGAAGCAGTTTGGGAGGACGGTTCACGTCCAGGCTCATCTGACGCGGGACCGGCCGAACTGAATCGCGAGGGCCGTCCGCTACCACCGAAGGATCCCCCAGCACGAGGTGCGAGTGGCTTCACATCGTCCACCTTTGGTGATTGACCATAGACGCCAACCTGGTACCCACTCGAGGCTGCCTCGGCAGCCTTTGGAGGGGTCTGCTGCTGGCCATAGGCACCGTAGTGGACGGAATAACCCGAACCCGACTGTCCGGGAGGTGGTCCCTGGGTCTGACTGTAGCTGCCACCCCGTGCGCCACGGCCGCCTCGACCACCGCGAAAACCACCTCTAAAGCCACCGCCTAAAATGGCCTTGCAATTACCGGTTTGTGCCATGACGCGATGTACACATCACAACTCACTTACCATCGCCTTGGTAACCTCCGCCATATTGGTCATCTGCACCCGAAGGTCCAGGAGGTGAGTCACCACTGCGGTCATATCCCCTCTTTTCACCAGACTGATAGTAACCGTAGCCACCACCGCCGCCACCGGACCCGCCGCTATAGGCTTCATAACCTCCGGACTGATATCCTCCACGACTGCCGCTCTCTCTGGGGTACCCATCACCTCCGCCGCCACCACCACCACCGCGATAGCCACCTCGACCATAGTGGGAAGGCTTGTCAGGCGAAGCGTACTGATCGTACTGCGAATTGCTGTAGGGAGGACGATCGGGAGGTGGGAAGGATCCGCCACCAAATCCAGCTCTGGCACCACCGCGAGGGCCTCGTGGGTATCCACCGCCATAGGCACCGCGGCCTCTACCGCCGGAGCCATGGTAATCGGAGTCGTCGCCAAAACGGCTATTACCCCCGTAGCGACCCTCTCCACCACCACCACCACCGAAATCGCGTCCACCGTCACGATATCGGGGCCCACGGTTGGCACCGAATCGACCTCGATCGCCACCACAACGATCATTCCGGTAGTCGAATCGGCCGCTTTAAAGCATAACGAAGGAATTCAAATTGGTGGGCTTACGCCTAGTTCCAAAATCATAAACTGTACGCAAATGTTGCTTTGACCACTAGTCAATACGCTCTGTTATTGATACAAGACTGAAGTTAATTCTTCCAGGTCGTGTACATACCAAAACAGTTCAACGCCTATAAACTCAACACAAACAAGTGTGAAAAGCACTAAAATAAACGATTTAATGATAAACACTCAGATTCGTGAAGCCCGGAATCCATGGAAACTAATTTAGTTTACGTGGATGTCATCTGATGCATTGACAGATGATGCTAGTGCCACTTCTACATATCGCGACAGTGATTGTGAGGAGTCAGAACGGGATATCATTTTATACTCACGTATCAGTGCTTTAGTGCAACTGAGGTGCCAAGATCAAAAATCCGCACAGGGAAGTTACATGCGAGCTTACCGTGAATCCCTGCGATCGTAGTCATTGCGGCCTGGTGACCTTCCATAGCTGTCAACTCTGGAACGATGGTCGTGGTAGTCGCGACTGTCGCCACCACCACCACCGCTGAATCGACTTCCAGAGTAATCCCGCTGGCTGGAGGAATCCATACGGGCCCGCTTTTCAGACTGTCGACTAGCCTTCCCCTCAACATTATACTGTTTAATTAACTTTTCGGCATCGTCACGTTGTAACTCCGTAAAGATTACTTCATCGAAGACACTGGAGGGGTCCATGTCGATGGCCTTTGGAATCTCGAAGTTGGCTAAAATGGATACAAAACTGGGTTAAAAAAACGAAAATCATGCGTCAAACTGCAATTAAGTTTTGATATGCCCGAAGCTTTTTGTCAGACGTTTGCTAGGATCACAAAAAACAGTAAAATACAAACCCTCATATTACCAAAACCCCACAAATTTCCTTGGATTTACTTACCTTTCCTGTCGGGAGACTTTGTACTGGGCATCCTAAACTCTTCCAAAACAAAGACACGCACACTCACCTTTGCCACCACGTGATGTTGCCATGTGGTTAGACGAAATTGTCCCGCGACACGGTACACACACACACACACACAGATAGAGATATACAGAGCGATGCAAATTCAACAACTACCTTTCATTTCGAGCACAGCTTTCTCTGGCACTTCCTTCCCTTCCTCCCTCGTGCGCTGGTCAATCCTGCGCCTGAACTCTTCATCCGTGGGCACGATAACAATCGCCTTGCGCTGAAAACCCTCGAAAGGGCGCATTTTACGCCGCTGGGCAGACGGATAAACATTTGTCTGTTGACGCGAACAGGGTCCGAGTGAATCGGCGCAACCGAGGCGAATAGGGAAAAAACAGTCGAGTTGGTTTGCATATGGTAATAAGTGTCAGACAGGTGTGAGTGGTCATGCGACAATTCAGCTCCCCTGTTCAGTGAATGCATAGGACTCCGCCTGCTCGCCAGTTGAAGGTATTATCACTAACTTGGAGTGCGATTAGTAGAAACCCAATTTGAAGGAGGATGGGTGAAGCAACTAGATTATGTTAACATCACTGACATCAATGACGTGGCGAAACGAGGTGGGGAGATGGGGGTGACCCCTACGAACACGAATATGATGCCACTGCAGAGGTTACGGCGGACTAAATTGCTGACATTTTGTTGAAACTTCACATCAAGGAACCAATCTCAAAGTGATCTGCAAACCACCCATTAAATGGGAGTCGGGAAATTCATTTTAAAATCAGGGTTTTATAATGTCCTGACCCACGACATCTTATACCGACGGCTTAAGGAACTCGGAACCCTGTAAATTCAGATTTTTAGCGGCAATGCGCTCGCGACAAAGGCGGGAGGAAGAAAAGCGTTTAGGGTTCAACCATGCACTTTGTTAGTGAGTGCTGCAGATGTGACGCCATAGAATAGTACATGCAGTAAATCACGGTAGACTGAGTCCTGGAAACAAGAAGTAGAGTTATTTCGGGAAGGAAGACAAACACGGAACTTTTTTTCTTTTTTTGTATATTTTTCTAATTTTTCGAGTAAACTGTAGTCACTTGACTTATTACACTGTTAGGAATCCCAAATAATCAGCAAATATAAAAACGTCGGCAATGTTTTACAGAGAGCCCGATAGCTGATTCCGTAAGTGCAAAAATACTCCACTTTGCACAAATTGTACTGGAATAGAATGCAAAATATACGCTACAAAAACAACTCGCATATTACAAGTAGGACAGTCCCGACGCAATCGAAAATCGTAGTCACACGCAACATGATAATGGGATGCGATCAAAGTTATTTTTAGATGTTTATTGTTTAAAACGTACATGAAATTTGACCTATAAGCAGTGCTAGCAAAAGAACAAAAGTGTACGCCCGTGGATTCCTGTTTCCGAAGTCCGCTCTAATACAATCGTAGAAATGGCGCTGAATGAGAGCCGAATTCTTTCAAAGCATTACCAAAAGTAAAATCCCCAGTTGGTTTTCATGACCGGCGAAAGTAACCACTTATTTGGTAACAGGTGCTGCCGCAGTCGATTTGAAATAATCGAACCGAATAAACATTAATTTTCGTACAAAATCATGTTTAATAAAATGGCATCAAGTATCAGACCAAAAAACTTCCACGTGTGTAGATTCTCATCGGATATTCGAAGTAGAAAGTGAAAAAATGCGATTAGACTGCCCTTTAACCTGGACGGAATCGTAAATACCTAAAATCCCATGGAATAAACATTACGGGATCTCCCTTAGGGACCACAGAGTCCAACAATTTATTAACACGAGCTAATGTCAGAACCGCAACAGCGACTATCCTTGATGCTGTCAAAGATTTAAAAAAATCAAAAAATATCCCCATTAGAATTTTTATTAGGCTTAGTTTAACAAAAAATTTAGAAAAAAACTGATTCACGAACCCCATACACGGGGAAACTCGTTTAAATTGAACATGATGTGAAGGAAGTTTACGGATAAAGTCATGACCGAAACGCACCTGATCAAGAATGTAATTCCGCCTCCGTTTCGAAGCGATTGAAATAAGCTTATTCAGACACTGGTTTGCCTTGTCAATAAGTGCGTCCCATCGACCGTGGTAGTTGCGCTTTCGTGAGAGGCCCGTGACCTAGGAGGAAAAATCATCTTATATACCAATAACGTACAAAAGTTACGAATGAAAGCTAGAAACTTTACCTTCATTTTGTCAAGTATTAAATTTGTCCCAAGCACATTGTAGCGCATTTCCGGCTTCTCCTTGCACAAATTATTAGCAAAGAACGTTTTCCCAGAACCTGGCAGTCCGATCATCATAATTGCTTCACATTCGGCTTTTGAAGGTGGTGGCTTTTGAGCATGAATACGACTTGTCAGAGGAATTTCGTTGATTAGTTTCCAAGAATCGGCATCTAAAGAGGTTAACATGATAAAATGAAATACCTTCAGTGGGTGAGAACCAGGCAGGTTGATTATCCTGTCCAAAGTTGACTGAAAATTCAACATTTTTCACATAGATGTGGGGGAAGAGTGCAAAGTCATCGCCAAAAGACGAGACAGGAATCCGATAGCATTCTCCTTGTTGTACACCGTTCACACTAAAGCTCATTGAAGCCTCAGAATTTGCTATCTCCAGGAATGCACCGATGACATCCCCCTCACCAAACTTGCATCCGTAGTCCACAAATTTACCGTCGCAGGACTTCTTAGCTGTTCCTCCGTACCCATAAGAGAAAGGCTCTTCACCAAGAGCAAAACCGGTCTTTTCCGTTGACCAGCCGATTCGTAGAACGTGAGTTGAGCCACCAACTAAAGATTCCAAGTTTTCGACAGAAATTTCTTTGATCACCTTAACCTCAAAAAATGACTTTCCACCATTTACACCGTAGTTGGCACGCGCTCCAGCCCACATTAATGAGAAACCACCTTCGGTTAAGGGTTTCGCGGAGAGGCAATCTTGGCTAACAACAAGACTGAGGTCTGAGTTGTAAATATCCAAAAATACGCTATCCTTTTGCTCCCAGCCGTCGGACTCATCTTCTATGCTCAAACTGGGTTCACGAGTGCGGCGAGGAGACCTTCGTCTTTCACGGTCACTGGAACGGTCACGGCCTCTTGACCGGTCTCTGTCACGAGTGCGCTCACTTTCACGAGACTTGTGACGACTTCGTTCTCTTGAGTGTTCGCGTTCTTTTGAACGGTCCCGATCCCTTTCCCTGGAACGATCGCGTTCTCTGGAAAGACGACACTCCTTTGGAGACTCACGATCCCTAGGAGGCTCAATTTCTTTTGTACAAGGAGGTTCTTTCGATTCAGAAGTTTCCACTGGAGTTGGACTTCGTGGCTTGGGTTCTTCATCTGGAACCATTACGCCAGAATCACCATTAGTTTGAGAAATCTAAGACAATTTAACAACTACAAAGCAACTAACCCCAAGTTCTTCCTCGTCAACCGAAACACCATCAGCAGCGCTCACCTCAACGGCAGTTTCGATGGGTTGTTTTGCTGTCGGATAGATGAAACCACAAAAAAATTCATACCTTCAGCCAATGACTTCGCAAAATCTTGCAGCGTCTTTCCTTCCTCACTTAATACCTTTGTAAGGCGTTGTGTAAGAATAGCTTTTGTTCCTATAGGGTTAAGTCCCCGTCTCCTGAGTTCATCTCGCAGGTCATTAACCTTTAACGTTGCCGCATCAAAGCCACCATCCATTTTGTAACGGTAATGGGAGACAGCGACTAATTAAAACAATTGTTCCAGAGTTATTTCCTGAAATGTCTAGCCCGATAAAAAACCTAACATTGCACATTGCTTTATTCAGAGATATGATTGCGCAAAACAGTAACTTATTCCAGGCCATTGAAAACATGATTGTTTAGGAAAGAATTATGCGTTCATAAAAATAATAAATTACATCAATTCGAAATATGTGATTCCAAAGCCGTAATATGTCGACATTTATCAAAGGTGTCTGAAATCGGAAAGCTCTCATTTGTTAGGACCTCCTTAGGTTTTTTTGTGAAATAGATAAAAGGAAATTTTAAACATAATGACTTTTAAAATATCTGCTAGATTTTTGTAAGGCTTCAACCTAAACAAGGAGCTACATCAAAAACGATGCTCTTTATTTGTGAACAAAAGGTCACTTTGCTCTTTGGTCTTTACATTATCACAATTACTTCTCAAATCATGCGAAAACTCCTGGTTAAAAAAAATATGCATTTTTTTCTGTCATCCGTGACGGAGTAAAGCGCTTTAAATGTAGTTTACATTAGTTTTCAAGGGATTGAACATAAAACGTGGGACTAATGAAGTGCAGCATTTTCTATTTTTCTATAAATTACGCACATATGCCCTCGTTTAATGAATTTTTTGATTGAAAAACTATTCTTTTCATCACCCTTAGCTAAATCTGTATTTTGGCAATAATGCTGCCAATTCAAATGCACTAGCACATGGACCTTTTTGCGACACTGTTTTACATATCAGCATTTTTCGAATTTTCATCCAGCCTGCAAATAGTCTAGTATAAATGCACCAGCATTTTACCCGTTAGTGTGAGTTAAGGTTCGCTGCCATATTCCCTTTTCGAGACCGCACCTTATTTAGCACAAATAAGAAAGTATTATTAGGGTCACTAAGCGCAGTATTTTGAAACATTTTAGACATGTTTTGTTATTTATGTAATTCATGTGATTAAATTGTCTGATTTCTAAAATACTAGATGATCTTACCTTTGGAATAAACCGAATTATTTGGTGTTCACAATATATGAAAGGGTCAAATTTTGCGAATTCCATGGAGGTCTATTATAGTTGATTTCATCTAGGATAAAATTTTTTCGTGATGTCTTTAATTTTTTATTACTTTGGAATACAAGTTGGGAGTTCAAAATAAGAATCGTTGTATTATGTAGTAGATATGCGCAACATTGAATGCTCAATCAAACGCAAAACACGTAACAGTCAAAAACTGCTAAAATTTTATAATATCGTGCAGCAAATAAATCGCAATATTTGTATAAGCTTAATTTTTTTAAATATCTTTAATTTTAATTTACCTAATTTCTGTGAATTGAAACGATATTAATATCCGATGAGGATTGGTAAACTAGAACTCTAAGGACTATTGAAACGTTTCGGTTTTTTAATAAAGTTGATAAATGAACCTAAAAATTATTTTTTTAGATAAACATATCAGTAAGTTTTAACGAGTTATTATTCTTCCTTATGAAATGTATCAAATGTTTTTTTCCGGAAAATGCAACAGATTGGCATTTTAAGTTTTCAGGTATTATATAAAACTAATAACAAATTATTTTCCTTTTTAAGAAAATAACATTTCGTTTTAACTCATTATTTTAAATCAGAGATGCTTCAAGGATTGAGGTCACCAGATAAAGGCGCGTTTCACGGTCATTTTGGGCGATCGCAATTCACAATCGAATTGCAAGGTTTACAAAAAGCCCTTTAATGTTGCATTTAAAAATTAACGATAGTGTACTAACGCATTTAATGAAATGCTGAGGATCTGCATTAGCTGCTGTACCTCGCCCAGTAATACAAACGACAGTAGTGCCAAAGTCGGTTTCAAGAAAAGGGAAAATGTCTTGAAGAAGAACAGAAAGCATTCAAAAAAATCAACTCAAAAGATTCTGCTTCTCGGCACCGGTGAAAGTGGAAAAAGTACTTTTTTAAAGCAGATGCGCATCATCACCGGGAAAACTTTCACAGAAAGTGAAATCGATCAGTTTAAATCTGTAATATATGACAATATTTACAAAGGAGTTTTATATTTGCTGCAGGTAATATTTTTTGACTGTATTTTTTTGTTTTATTGTATTGTAATCCACAAATACATACAGTAGAAGTCGCATTTTCAACAGCCTCTCAATTAAATTATCGAATCTTGAATGTCGATACTTTGGCCAAATTGGATTTTTCTTTATGTGTTTTTGGCCCGTCTTAGTGTCTTCATGCAAGTAATAAAGGCTGCGGTTTGGTGTATTCATTAAGATTAAATTTCTAGATGCTAAAATAGAACTCTATAAAGCAACCTGATAATAAAATATATTTCATGCTAATGTTTATTATTAGTTACCTAAATCATAAAATTTACCTTGCTAGTCAAATTTAACTGAATATATATCTTATTATCAATTACTCTATTATGGTCTGAGGGATGAAAAAAATCCAACAGTCACTAAAATCATAGAATTGAAATTTGATAGGGCCATGTAGTAAATAAGCAAGGGTAAAGACTTGTATCTATCTTATCTTGGGTTTTATATTTGACTGTGATGACTCACTCTCGTCTTTATCTAGGTAACTACCTTTGTCTGCCAATTACTAATGCAATAGAACTAATGAAAATTTATAAACTATTAAGACAATTACTGAACGAGAAACTAATGTCGCCTTCAAACTTGGTTCATCAGAGTATTAAGGTGGACAGGATTTACAGATCAAGCTTTGCAATGTGGCTGTGGAATAAATTATTGTGGTTTAAGAGTTGACCGTGCCTAAGGTTGTGTTAAGACGTCCTATTTGTCATAATTCAACTTTCCTTTAGCGTCTAGTGTTGGCTAACTTAAATTTATACGTCTGTCACTAGCTTCAGGAATTGGCGACAACCATAAACTGTGAATTTGCTGCTGATTCACTTCCGGGTTTTTCCAACTTGTCTCTGTTTTTGAGCTCTTAATTTTGTGTGCGTGTTAGGAAATGCCGGCACAAGCATAAAAATGCAGCCAATTAACCTCCGTGTTGAGAAGGTGAGGGCTAATCGCTCATTGTGTGCGACATATTTGTTCTAAGTGCATAAAGCAGCAGGTCTCAAGTTCAGTTGATTGAAATAAATTAGGTACAACTGCTTGGGAAATGACTCAGTGTCTGTCATGTTGCAAATTTTCTGGTTGCTTCTCACATTGGGGCCTAATTGTACTCAAAATTAGCATATCTGCATGTGTACTTATACATAGCCACGCCTTGCAGGTGAAGAGAAGTCTAGATTTGTCTTCAAGGCATTATTTTTCTCACAAAAAAAGGGCAACCTGCTGTCTAATCCACGTCGATTGGAAAAGCACCGTTTAGGCAGACGAATTGAAATATGCTCTAGCCAAACGCATCCAAAATTTACTTGTTTGTGTTACTACCATTTCTAACCTATTCCATTGTTGCTCTTATTTTATTCGATGTGTCGCCTAAGTCATGGCAAGTCGTCAGGTCTACACCGACAATTCTCACGTGCCTTGAAGCCATTTAAATGAAAAACAGCGCTGAAATTTTCTCACCAAATGACGTAAAGTGCACTCTTGTGCAACATGTTTTTTGCTGTTCGCGGAGGGGACATCTTAGCAATTAAAAGAACACTTTGTCAAAGAGTAACGTAACAATTTCACTTCTCCCAGTTTTCAACAGCAGAGTGTACGCACCTAGAAGTGACACCAGTAACGGGAAGAATGCCATTACTCGGTGTTCTGTGGCATTAAGTGATGTAGACACAAATTTGCGCACCAGCTTGTAACGTCAGTTGTTAGGGGGAATTATGGGAAATCTTAGCGTTAAAATAAAATGAAGTTCTTAAATGACCTAATTGTGAACCAGGTATCAACCGTTTCTGTTCTGTGGTATGTGTGCAATTAAGAGTCGAGTCCAGGCTCCTGATTTCCAGTTAACTGAATGACAATTTGCTTATGAAACACTATGCCCCGAAACCAGCACGTTCAACACTGGATCTTTTCTTCTTGAAGGCACGCACAACTCTTGGCATTCCGTGGGCCGGAGGTTCTGGGTGTTCAGCCGAGCAGGCTGCTGAACGCCTGGAGGAGCACTTTCGAGAGACCCGCGCCGAGCGTCGTCAGAGGGCGTTTCTGGGCAACGGGGTTCCACTCTGGCGGGAGGAGGAGTTCCTCGCCCTAGCGCCTCTCTTCCAGGCCGTCTGGGCAGACTCTGGCATCCGGCTGGCGTTTGAACAGCGAAACCGTCTCATCACCGAGGTCTTTGTGAGTCTGCTTACTTATTTTTCACAACTTTACCCCCCAAACCAGTTGGTTATTAATGCAACATACAATTTGTGGTCTTGAAGTACAATGCCCGCAAAAAACGTTGTCGTAAATGACACGATTTGTGTTCAATTAACCACTTTTGAAGACAGTACATGGATTTGACGGTGGTCCTCACAATGCGTTGAAATCCTAACGAAAAAAGAACTCTACAAAAAACTGAGAAATTGGCATAAAAATTCCTCAAAATGCGGGTGTTAATGCATTAAGTATTCGCCACTATTTTCACTAGAAACTAAAATCTGGCAAAAATGTCCGCTTAAACAAAATCGATCTTGTTTGAGCCAGCGGCGAGCAGTGTAGTCAACTTAGAATCATTTTCAGGCTTTCATTTAATTACCCGATTGTTAGTCTTGTGTTAAAATCGAGCTTAAAGTCTCACTAACGCCCAATTATTGGTGTTCAGTGTTTGAAACGTTATAGTGGTCGACAATGTTGTTTGTTTAATTTAATTGTCGCCTTGGGAATTCGGGGCAGTTGGGAAATAGCTCTGGCGCTTTCAACTAACATTTCTGACAACTAATTTTCGTTGTAATCAGTCTGAAACACACCACGTTGGTAAAACGGAAAATTTTTTTACCGAGTTTGATGTCCCTCGAGGCTCTTTCTACAATTTTTCTGAGCTTGGGCCTCAGTTTTGTTCTTGCGACAAAATCGCTTTGAAAACAACATTGGTTAGTCGCTTAATCCTAATCGATGTAGGAGTCTACTTTGATCAAGGTTAATCCCACCGCCTCTTGCGACATGACTCCAAGTACCAGTAACGGAACCTGCTGATTATGTTTTGAGGAAACAGGAAGTCCTAAATCTACCAAGTGATTTCAAATAAATGGCAGCTGCTGAAAGGAAATTGCTAGAAGTGTGTGTGTGTGTGACTTAGTTAATAAAACAGAAATATTTTCGCGGTCTTTTGGGGTTTCCAGAAAGGATCTGGCCCAAGTTTTCGGAACAACGAACAACAAAGCTCTCAGAATAGCAGCGTTTGCCGTTGGAAGTGGTTAACATTTTGCTCGAATTCCAACAAGAAAAAAGTGCTTCTCAAGCACAGGAATCAGTTTGTAATGTTCTTGGTGCCAAGGTTGTGTGTATTTATTGGTACAAGCATTTTAGAAGTGACCATTTCGATTCCAGTGACCTGCCGCTCCCCGCAGAGCAGCGTCGAAAGTTTTACTGAATTAAGACTCGACACAAACTCAGCAATAACTTGCAGTTCAGTTAGGAATCACCCAAACAGCGCTTGCATCAAATGGCAAAAAGTCATGAAGTAGGAATTTGGGTCCCACATGTGTTGACCGAACACATCCCCCTAAGTCAAAGTATGAACACATTCCTTCCACTGCTTGTCCACCGGCAACAAACAAAGGACGTCTTGTGGAAAATGTTGGTAAGAGAAGAAATGTCTACTTTTGCAAGTATCCTGAACGTAAAATGTTGTGGGCAGACCCCTGACAACTCAGTACATCGACTCCGAAACAGGACATCCATCTGAAGAAGCTTCTCCTGTGTATCAAGAACTTCTAGAAACTGGTCAGATAGTGACTGTGGAACGCTACGACCGACAACTAAACAAGCTGAACAAAGAACTTGACCAGAAAGGGCCATTTACTGGGTAAACAAGTAGGCAAGTCATACTGCTGTTGGATAACAACGCTCGACCACCTCACGTTACTCGCGCGACTCAGAAGATCCTCTTGAACTTGGAATGGGAAGTACTTCCACACGCGGCATATTCACCAGACTTGGCCATATCCCACAATATTTTGTTCCGGTCAATACAGCAGCAGTGGATCAACAGTTCATAACGTTGGACGATGTGCGTGAATTTACCGATGACTTTAGTGGTTCGAAGGCCGAAAGTTGCGTTCGCGACGGCGTAAGGTCATATAAAACGATGTGTAATACTTCCACGAATAAGTTCTTAGTTCTCTACTTTATAGATTAAATAAATTTGCCGAAAAATCTGTACAAATTAGGTCATACACCTGATAGCAAAGCGATTTAGAGTTGGTGCATTTGCTAATGAACTGTTTAAACTCTGAATTCGCTGATTCACGTGTGCATCCTCTTGGACCTCCGGCTCAGTCATTTGACCTCCCCCCTTCTTCCTGATATTTGGCCTTTGGTTCACCTTTATGAGCCGTCTGACTTTGTATCCGCGCAAGTAGCTACCACGGTTGATGCGTTCACTCTTCTCTGTGGCACGCACTACAGGCTATTTGTACTTAGATTTCACTTTCTGTCTCCACAGCCCTTAATCCTCTAATTATTATCTAGGTAATTGATGCAAAGCCAACTTTTTGATGAAGATTGGCCTTGACGTGTCTCAAAATGACCTCAAGTGCATAGTTAGAACGAATCGGATTGACGATAATTAATCCCTGGTTCTTAATCAGCAACGTCTTTTGACTCGAGATGGCTAAATCTCGCAACAAAACTCGCAGATTTCGTAGTAACTAAGCTGCCAGATTTCGTATAGCAACGAGAATTTGTAAAATCTGAGGTTAGTGTCCCACGTGCGATATCTCTTGGTAGAAAACCAAGACAATCTTCTAATGGATAAGTTGAAAGTTCTTCATTTCGACAGCAGATGGGTTTCCACCTACTTGACTGGCATTATTTTCCCCTTACAGATGACTCACTTAGTCGACTACTAATTCTTCTATTCACTTTAATCAAAAAAGTTCGAATTATTGAGGTCATGCTCCAACGCACATCACATCTTTGCTATTTTTATCCCACAATATGGCCTTGTTTGTTTAAAATTTCTCCTATTCGCCTGAGGTTTGGCGCCATGTGCGTAAGAAGACATCTGATTAAGCAATTGTGCTAGTGTGTAGGTGTGCTAATGCCGAACAATCATGCTACATCGATTGTAGTAGCACGAAATACAGCTTATGCGTGAGAACCTGTACCTTGTGTGTCTCTCGCTTGTTGTGTGCGCGTGTCGGTGGACACAATTTGCGCTATTTGGTGGCAGTCAGTGAACCCCAGAATCAATTTCAGTAGTCGTTTCTTGATTACTCGGGAAACTGGCAACTGTGAATTCACTATTCGCGGTTTGACGCACACTGTCATAATGGGTGACTGGTAAGCTTACTACACAAGCTGTTTAAGGATTTTTCGGGTAACTTTCAAAGCCGAAAGTTCTAAAGCCTAGGTTCGATGAGTTTAGAATTTCGCTAAAAGGTTTTCTTGAGTGAACTCACATGCTAAGCCTGATGCAACTATAACGTGGGATGCTTTTGCTTATTTAATAATTCAAATTTTGTCAAACGACTTTACGATTTGCTGCGCCCTGTCATAAAAAAGGCACATTCAACGCGTGAAATGTGCAGTTAAACCTGCGTTAGTACATCAAAGTGAATCTTTAATGTGTCTCTCGCTGGCGTAGCGTGCTTTGTATTCTTCTTCAAGTCATAGACGTGACGTAGTTAGTTGAATACAAGCGAAAGGTCACTATGTGCGAAACACGTCTAGCGATTTGGTGGGCAAATAGCGCGTGGTGACATCACTAACTGATGATCAGCCAAAAAAATTAACTTAAATGCTATTAAGTAATTTTAATGTCCCTGGTTAAGCAAATTTCTGGTGGAATTCTGTGAGGTATAGTGTCGTGCAGTTGGTGGTGCTGTGCCTTTTGACTGTGATTGCATGTGTTATCACCAAATTTAAAGGCAACCAACTGTTTCTGGGTAAAAATAAAAGTCTCCGGGTTCAGCTACAACTCGGACCACCCACGTAGTTTATGAGACTGCACTGCAAGAATGTTGTTTATTCTGATTCGCACTTGTTGAAGGCTTAGTCGTGAATTCTGAACAGGGCAATTTTACGCAAACTACAGGAAATTATCAACACTTTGTGTAGTTACACGGTTCCCCATCAAATCGGCATTTTTAACAAAGCCGTGTCACTTGCCATCAACTGAAATCGTCACAGAACAGGAAAAAGTTGACTTCGTATGTAAAAATTGTGATGTTAAAATCAGCTGCTTCGTGTGATGTAGTGTGAAAAACTCAGGCTAGAACAAGCATTATTTGTGTCAATTAAATTTATAGATTGTAGCAGAGATACGTCACGCTAATGCGAAACAACATCTATTTAAAAAAAAGAAATACAAAATAACGCTGGAATCTCCACCCACCTAGTCCGAATCTAGCCGCTAACGTGCTTCTTTTAGTGAAGTTCTCTGTGAGGCGCACAGCTTGAATTTAGCTGGCTGAGTTTGTGGGATCTAGTGTTGTACCATTTTGAGCTGATTTTCAATTATGGTATCTAAAAGGCACGATTCCTATCGGTGGCAAAGAGTATCAAACAATAATGTCGAAAACACTTTATTTGATTTCAAAATTAAAATCATTTCAATTTAAAGCAGACTTGAAAATTTAAGAGTAGTGACACAATTCACGTGAGACGTTGCCCAGTAAGAAACAGTGGGCATTTAATTATGGGTAGCAATTTGGCTAATCCCTTTGGGGCATTTAATCCGTATAACTGATGCCTAACCATGTAATTCGAAGCCTTGACGCCTAGATTATGCTTGTCTGTGAAACCCTACACTTCTGGAGGCAAATTTTTGAGATCAAAACGTAGAATTTACGGCAAGTAGTTTGATTTCACCGTCAGTGACAACCCCAGTTTCTCAAAGACAGTGCAAAATAAGTTGCAACAGAAATTATTGGCCGGAATTTGAGCCGCAACCTCGTTGAAAAGATCTGAGGGCTTATTTTCACCTTCGCGCTTAAATTCTGTGCAACCATTGACAGTGAGCCGCATAAAACCACATTGCGGCGACAGATTTTAACTGTTGCTTGCGTTTCTCAACTGACTGTTGTCAAGTTAAGGGTACTTAACCTAACAATTATGCATTTGCCCACCTAGCAAATTGTGCTTAATTGTCCTAATTTGGTGCTGCGCTGCTGATGTCATTTTTCAAAATTCTCTTGCGTTGCCAATGCTCTACCCACTTATTGCTACAGTTGTAAGCTGAGACTAATTTATCAGCTGGTTCGAGTAATTATCTACTGATAGTTTTGGCAGATAAAAACCATCTAGCCTTCAGCGATTTGCTTTTTTTTTCAAACAGTTTCATGTAATTGGAACGCAACGGTTGGGGAAAAGACTGAGAGGGTGTGTGTGTCAACGGCTTATTTGAGGTCTCAACGAAGTTGTGCTGCTGTGTGCGTGTGGGTGGAATGGTAGAGGTACAACTAACTGAATGGTGAGGTGAGTGAAGGCGCATACTTGGAGGGACTGACTGACGGACATGCCTCGAAAGGGGGAGAGATGTGTCGGCGCATGTGGCAACAGGCGTGAATCATTTGAACCATGTTAAACAGGGACTATCGGTTGATCCAGATATCCCAGAGTCACTAAGCCGCAAAAAACCATCAAACTCGATTAGTTTTCAATTAAATCAATCTAGTCAGCTCTCCATTATATCCACTCAATCTAAAATCCCGCAACTAAATTATCTGGCCTCCACTTACAAATCTGTTCTAATGAATGATCTAACATTATGCTGATATCTGGTCATTTGATCAAATTCCACAATTCATTCACCTGTTCACGAGTCATGCTCTGTGAGCATGGAAACGTCAGGAACGCGGTCGGTGTCGCTGTCCGTCGAATGAAAGTCTCGAACGGTTTTGTACGAAAACCGGGTCCATCGCACACAGTCACTCCCGTAACCGGGCCAGTGAAACTGCACCAGGCTCCCACTCCACGCCGTCCGTGATTTTAGCTCGCACACTTGCGAGGCAATGTTGTCTTTGGCAAGAGCAACGAAGGATTTGCCTGTGGATTGTGTTGGATTTTAATGTAACTGACAGCGCTGTTGCAAAACCAAATCGCTGTTCGGTGTTTGGGGCCAAGTCAGGCAGGAACTAAATAACAAATTGAATGCGACCGTCTCCCCATTTTATTGGCTAATCATCGACAGGTTCCACGTGATCAATAATTTTGAAACCAATGGATGTCCATTGGTCCAGTCGCCGCGGTCTCAGACACGCGTCCCCTTTTCACGGCGTACCCGTCTGCTTATTCGCTCCTGTGCTTGTACCACCACCACCACCACGCGCTTAACTCCTCTGACACTTCAGGCTCTTGGACGTTAATTGGCTAGCCTGAATTGTACTGGATATGTGCAGCTGTGACCCGCAACTACACAAGTTGGTCGAGCTGTCTAGTAGACAGTTGTCGCCCCCTGTCTGGTCTTCATCAGAGCAACGTGGTTTGAGACTACAGCACTGAATTGGACGTGCGCATGTGAATTTTACAACCGTTTACTAGATATCTCAACCGAGTCGTCATTGGTATGTCGTGTGTGGCGTTTGCACGCGTGTGTATTTCTAGCTGAGATGTGTTAACCACCGTAATTCATAGACTCATTAACACCGAGACCAAGGGACATCTGTTATTACACGTAGGGATAACTCAAAAATAAAAATCCCTGCTAATCCAGTGTGGGTTGAGGTTCTCCCATGCTGCGAAACGGCGTATTGCGTCGACTGTGTTTTGAATGTTTAAATGTGTTGATTTACTAGAAACTTTTAAGGTGACGCTCTGAGGCTATAGCGTTAATAGTCAAATAACTCTAGTTGCTCCTACTTTTAAGCGGTCACTATTTGCTGACGATGTGAAATACTCAGTAAGCCATTAATATTGTGTGTTTTGAAGGCGGTCTTCAAGATTGATGGTGCTAGTGGCGATTCCAGCAAGTTGTTACTAGCCAGAGCCAATGCCTTCTTAGTTGTTCTTTTTACGCTAAAGTGCAAGGAATTTTCCTTTTTTCTTGATAAATGTGTTGTCAAAAGTGGGAACAAGTTTTTGGGACCTGTCTCCGCCCACGATGGTCCGGCGTGAAAATATCCACTGGCGCGGCAGTCTAAAATATGCTAGTTTTTCCTTTTTGAAACGAGCAGTTGAGGTTGGGAATCAGGAATCCTAGTCTAAAACAAACTCCTAGAGCGTAGTCGTTGACAGAATCGTCTGTTAGTTGGCTGTAATGTTGGTTGGAGTGACGACTATGGCAATTTTGCGTTTTTTCTTTCATTATTACACACTCAATGGGTTTTTGAACCAGTGTACAAGAATGCTTCTGTCTCCTATCTACTGGGAACTAACTCAACTTCCGCACACTCAGGCAAATCACTTAAGTGAACGCTTTCATGTGAATTTTACCTGTTTTCTCAATCCCTTACACATCCCTATTTGTGCTACACCGGCGAATTCTGTTGTAATTCCTAACTGACCGGGATTTGTGTAAGCAGAATTCAAATTAATTTTTCCCAAGCCGTCCGCTTCGTGCTACTTTGATACAGTTTAGCTTGAGAGTCAGACGACTAAGTTGTAACTGCGTTTGGACCACATAGCAAGTCGCAAATCACAAAACGAGATCACCCACATACACACAGGACAGTCAAATTTACCCCAATTGAAATGCCCAATTTTAGCACGCAAATTGTATGTTCAAGGTTTTACTTACGCTGGCCAAACAAAGCCCTTTTTCATAAAGCCAAAATCGCTCTCATATGAAACGAGGCGCAGCAAAATTTTGCCAAACCTACAATTAGGCATGTGAGATTAAAAGCTCGCTGCGTAAACTGTTAAAGTGACAATTATGTTTTGAAATACTGCTATTTGTTGTTAGTTTGCGTAGCGAGGAGAACTATTTCTACGTTGGTAACCGGTAAACTTGAGGGACATCAATAATGCGATAATTTTTAAAGTAATATTAGCGGATTGTTTCATCTCGAGAATAAGAAAAGACCCATTGTATTGTTGTGGTCTTAGCCACGTCGGGGCCACTGAGCTAACTCTGGCCCAATTACACTTCTCTGCTACCCGTGATGATTAAGAAGACCAGAGAGAACGTGGACACAACCGCGTTGGTGTCCTTGTGTCGTGTGTGGGGTTTGTGCGTGTGTATTTATACCTCGGATGTGTGAGTCAGATGTGCAAACATCGAGACTAGGTGCAAGGATAATGTAGGCGAATCGTCCGTGATAATGAGGGGGCAGTTGAGGATCCGCGTGGCTGGCGACATGCTGCGAAAAAGGGGACCGTGTCGGAGGACAGAGCGACCGGAGTAAGGCGTGTGATTAAACACGATTCACAACAGCATTACTAAATAACTCTGTTTTCACAAAATGCCATCGTCATCAATGGCGTACACTCCGTCAAGTAATGGCATTTTACTAGATTTACTGTATTAATATAACATCAAAAGATGGAAGAGGTATATTTAACGCGGATTTATTAGGATACGCCAGTCTTTTGTCAACAGGGGGTCTAATTTTCGTGGTTGATGAATGTAAAAATGTAATTTTTGTAAGGTCGTCGAATATCGCTAACGAGTTCTTAAAAGACAATGAGCCACTGTGCGGTCTAGCAGACAATTATTTAATCAACCCTATCTCACAATATGGATAATCCATTTAGCTTGAGCAAACGTGTGCTCATTGGACCATCATGAGTAACTTAACTGGATGAAGTGTACTGTAATTATTTCGGAAAGTATTTCAACAATTTAGAGCCACAATTTTAAAGACAAGTTAAGCTAATGTCAGAATTATTTTCCCTCAGTTCTTAGACAGGTTGCTTACCGAATAACTCAGACAACAACGAAAGCTTTTGTGATTTTGGAAAAAGATTTAAGGAATTTGTCGCCAAAATTGACCAGTTTTCGATAAAACCGATAAAACTATTAATTTATTATCTGGAAACCAATAGAAGCTTTATCTAACATCATGACACGGTCACAAATGCATTGATTGAACCTAATCTCTAAAGAACAGCATTGATTTGATTTGAGGCCATGGAAATCGTTGCCTACAGTTGTGTTAATCAAAATAGATGCTAGCATATCGCTGTTCACTGGTGCCGTCTTTTTTATTCTAGAGTGAAAACACGCGGTATTACCTCAATCGCATGCAAGAAATTGCCATTCCCGTAAGTCAGGTTTGTCTAGCAGATACGCACACTCAAGTTATGATCCAGTCACTCCTATATCTGCCATACCAAAACACACGCTCAGCGACCCAGTACCTAAATCCCTTGGCTAACGCAAGCGCCATCATTCCGGCACAGAACAGCGGCGTGACCGCCTGAAGTGGTGTGATTAGGGAGAGTTGGCGTGAGAACGCAGGTCATTTGAGCACGCTTTAAATGGCTCACTTTAACTTGTGTGTGCGAGATGACGTTAATTTGTGGAGACATGTTATGCCTTTTTCAAGTGACATTATCTGACACTAACACGAAGCCTAAATGGAATAATGTGTTTCTTGATTTGTCTACAATGACGATGATGATGATCTGGATTGTAGAATTATCGTCCAACCGAGGAGGACATTGTATGGTCGCGTCGTCCAACGGATTCTATTATTGAAGAAGAAATTTTCGTCCACGGTACTTCAATAACTTTCATCGACGTCGGCGGACAGACGAGGGAGCGTCGGAAGTGGTGCCAAACCTTCACCGATATGACCTCTGTTCTCTTCCTCGTGGGTTCGTCGCATTATGACGAGCTGTACCTCGACCGGGTGACTGGTGAGTACCGCAACAAACTGCGCGAAGCAATGACAGTTTTCGAGTGTCTCATTAACTTTGACTCCTTCCGTCGCGTCTCCATAATCCTCTTTTTCAACAAGAGCGACCTCCTTAAAGAAAAGGTTGAAGCTCGCGTCTCCGGAATCCGTGCGCACTTCTACGAGTTTCCGCAGGATGCGGACGAGTTTAACCTGGTGGCGGTGCAGAACTTCCTTGTTGAAGCCTTCGCTTCCCTCGTGGATCCGATTGTCTTTTGTCCAGCAGACGAGCTCACCCCAACCTCCTCTCCACTGTTTCAGAACCGTTTGAGTGGTTTCCAGAGAAAATCGGCGATCTCACAGCCGGCAGTTGGTCGCAGCGCCTCGATGAATGCGAACCCGCATCGAGGAAGCAATCCTTGCGATAGGATTCCCCGTAAAAGGACAATTTACAGGCATTTCACCACGGCAGTGGATAGGAAAAACATCAAGACTGTGTTCAACGCAATGCAGGACACAATTCTCCAAAATAACCTCCGGCGATTAATGCTAAGTTGACTTGAGGCAAAAAAAACCGCGCGTGTGTGTGTCTATGTAATTATATATTCTAAGTCTTTCGCTTGATTCCTTTCACTCTGTAGTTACCCTTTATTACCTGAATGTTGTGGACGATTCACTTGTACCAACCACAATGGACATCTCCGCTTTCACACCTGGAGTTGTCTAATTTTCTGTTGATTTTCAAGAAAACTAGGTTTGCAGAAGATGGTGCTTATAAAACTCGATTCGCAGGACACGTCTAGACTACTAGAAATCGATATTTTGTTCTAAAAGTGAATGATGCTCACTTCCATCTAAGTATACTTGATAAGTGTACTTTGAAAAGTCTAGTTAGCGGTGTACTTCCTACTGATGCCACTTCTAAGCTGCTTTTTACCAAATAGAACTGTTAAGTTTCAATGAATGGTGGTCATTGCTATTAAAGTTCACAAATTTTTCTGATTCCAAATTTGGTGCTACTTTTAGAAGTTGTCTCCTGGTATTCACTCACATAATTTATCCATAATTTTCGCTTTAAATACAGACTTGCAATGCCGACTTTCCAATGAATTCACTTTCATCAGTTCACTGCAAATTGTGTTATTTTAGTTGAATCGGCTGCAGTGCTTGGTAGTTAGATCATATTTGCTATTTCATGGAGCCAAGCCAAGTGAGAAGGGAACATTTTTTTTCAAAATTACTGCGCACGAAGTTTTCGTCCTTTTTGGGCGGTCATATATATCGGGCGTGGTTTTTACAGGATCACATAAATCTGCGAAATCTTGATTTAAACATTTTGAGCAAATCCAACATCTGTAGCAACAATTTAACGTTGGTTTTTTTGAGCCTTGTAATGCGATAAGCTGGTGGAATTGTGTTGAAATTGCATAAAAAGTAATAACTTTGAAGGCAGAGAACCAAGTTTACAGTTCCACAAGTATCTTTTAAGCTTGTAACGTGAAAAACTCCAAAAAAAATGAAGAAGAAAAACTTTCTTTTGTTGAGCTCTGTCGTGAACCGCATTTATTTACACTTTTTAATCCGGTCGCTCCACTTCCGACACAGGGTTCCCCTTGTCGCAGCATGTCGCCAGCCGCACTGATCCTCAACCGCCCCCTCATTCGTACGAATATATATCTTGGAGTATCCTCACACCTAGGTCTCGATGTTAGCGCATCTATGACTCACGCATGTGAGGTACAAATACACACGCGCAAACCCCACACACGACACCAGTTTTGGTTGAGCTCTGAAGTAAACGGCTGTGTCCACGTCCTCTCCGGTCTTTTTCTTCATCGCGCGTATCAGGGAAACGTAATCTGGCCAGGGTTAATTCGGTGGCCCCGGCGTGGTTCAAGGCCACATGCCGGGGCCCACGACAGTTTGTTAATCACATCGTGACGATTGTGGTGACGTCGTGCAGTTGATACTTGACAGTTGAGGGCTAAGGCGGTGCAAACGTCTCTACCTAGTTCACATCCTAATTACGCTAAGTCAGTGTTTGGACTAAATCCAAAAGAGACCTCGCTTTTAAACGTTCATAGGACCACCACTTTGCCAGACTTCAAAAAATTTCCAAGAGCAGAATAAAAATGGAGTTTTATGCTACTGACAGTGCCTGTTAGTAAGCAGCTGTTTGCTTGTGGCAAAGGGACAATTAATTAGTCATCCTTAGTGCATTAACAGAAGTATCCGGCAGGTATAAAATTAAGCAATTTTAGCACTAAATAAGTTTCGTCTCAGTTTGCTTGATCTAGAGACTAGTTGTCCTATCGCCTCGAAAACTAGCTTAAGCTTCACAGGGAGAAGACATACGCAGTAGTTATTAGTTTTTTTTGGGAACAAAATTCACACAGATCGAAAAGTGGATGAATAATGGTGTAACAAAAAAAATTTGCAACATTGACTGCTGATGGTAATGCTCGATTATTCTGTGCATTCACTCGCAGCGGATTCTGTACACAATTCCGAGCAAGGGCATCTCATGCCGTCGAGATGACAGAATCTAGATTTAAAGAAGGTAAAAGATTTTCATTTTTTTGCAAGAAAAAAAAACAAAGATTCGCGTGCACGTGTAACGTTTTTCGCAGCAAAATGTTTGGCCCTATATTTTCCAACCAATCTGTTTTTTTGATTGGACGGGTGAGAAATTGTAATAACCGCCAGGTGTCTGGGGAATTCGCAAGTACACGCGCAGTGTAAACAAACACAGTCTAATTTGCTATTGGACCGTGAAATATAATCGCGGGGGCTGGTTGGATCCAAACCGTATCCTCACACCTTCGTGTTTTAGCCTCCGAATAATGCGATCTGTAACATCACAACACTTATTACCTGCGCGCTATCCACACATTAGCATGGTCATTATTTCGCTAATACATACACACTTTGGTAACTACAAAACAAACCGCAATAACGCCATATTGCCGTCGACGGTTTTCGTACATACGGGTATAGTTTGCAGTTATCAAAACAACCCTTCCATCAAATGTTGTTTAAGTTATCAGAAAAGACGGTTTCTTGTCAACCTATGCTGCAAACCCAAATACCTTGGATGGCTGTTTGATTGGTAGTCACTTCAAAATCAAACAAGCAGCAACAAGAATTTCAAAAAAACACACGAAATTTCGAAAAGATTTAAAGATATTTTGCATCGCTAAGTCAATTAATTGCTCGTCACGTAGACACTTAGACAGTCAAACAATGAACTCTGACACTTGTCTGGCGTCGTGCTTCTGCATAATTTGACATACAAAATCAATTTTTTGAGTGAAGAAATGTACTTTAACGCGGTTTGACGAGCGAAATTTCATGCACAATGTTCTTGATGTAAAACGCCCTGACAGCACCATAGTCTCACTAACACCAACCATTGGATTCTTACATATTTGAAAACAGAATTTACTTTAAAACAATTAATAACTGGTTTTGACTAAGGTTACACCGAAGAGAGAAATTCCCATGAAAAGTTGTCTGCAATTTGTGCCGCGTTCAAGGCGTTGAATCTTAAATATTTTGCGTCACTGTGAATAGGCGCAGGAATTAGAGCCGGTTTGTCCACGACTTGCGAAATTGGCAGTGACGGAAGAGAGTAACCAGAATCTGGCAGGGCGTTAACCCAAGTCCACGACAAAATTAAGCATGTCAGGGTAATTAATAGTGACGCCTGCTCTGTCTAAAATGTAGATTGCGGTGAGTGCACAGATCCCAATTTTTTCCTCGGCAAGATGCACCAATTTCTGAGTCAATCAGCACTGATTGTCAGGTGATAGCAATGATATAGCTTCAAGTAAACCCCACAATTGCATTCTCAACGAATCTACGAAATCTACCGGTTTTCCAGAAGCTTGATGAATGCATAGATAAGTGTGGTATGAACGTTCTTTATCCTGCAAGGTAATATCATGACTTTTAGACCTCACAAGCATTCCAAAACCACCTGTTCAAATTCTTATCAAAGTGTACTTACTTGTTGAAGTAGTACATTTCGAAAAGCTCTTCTCTTTAATTCCATTGATGGGCATGCGTTGATGTGCCACAAAAACTGGGCCAGAAAACGACTGGTTTGTGAGTTTTCGAACACAACTGACGTCCCGTTTTTATTCAGACGAGCGTTTTCAACCTATCAAACCATTAAATACATCTAATTTCGTTGCCAAAAAAGATTAAAAAGACTAGTTTTACTGCCAGCTTGTCTTCCATTACTTAAAAATGTTCCCTTTTCTGCTGAAATAGTAGATTTAGAGGTTATGTTTGGTCTTACGAATTTGTTAGTTGCTTCACGTGGCACACTTGCTTCTACCTGTTTACTCAGGCTAATACTGTCTTCCAACCAGACAAGAAGCTGGAAATGTGGTTAAAAATGATGCTTTCATCAACATTAGAGGACAGGTTCATCGAAATGACGTTCAAACTGATAAGTCTGAGGTTAGAATAGTTCTCAAAAAAGACTGGACAAGAACAGAATCTCCCTCAAATCTGGGCAAAGCTGTAGTTTCTGACATTTCTGGAAAATGAGGTCTTGCGTTAATGCAGAAACCTTTAGATGGAATGTCAAGGGACAAGCGAAATGCTAGCAAACACTATAACTCTCCCTCTCTCTCGCATAGCAAAATCCAACTTACGGTTCTCGATGTAGACAATTTCTGCCCAAACACGTACAAATGTGTGGATAATTGAAACTCGAGTAGCGAGGCATCCTCGTGGAACACGTCGAAGCTTCCAACACAGAAACAAGGCAAACAATGTAAGCGCACTTTCACCATTTTGACTCCACGTGAGGTGGTTTGATTACTTGTACCTCCTATTTTAGCTCATATTGCGATGCACGAATAAGTAAAGTGGTTGTAGCCACATGTAGTGAAAGCCTAATCAAGAACGCCAGGAAATAATTCAAGTGGTCAAAAGTGGGTAGAATGATTTAATAGCCTAGGGATAAGCGTTGTGATGTAACCATATCGTCATTTTTCTGAATCCAGCAGTGCTGTTTACAGCAGAAATGGTCAAATTCGGGAATAGCATTGGTTAAGATTGTGGCAGTTAAAGCAACATATACCAGCAAATTCACAGTAAACAGACATCTAGCATAATAAGCCATTAAACGTACCGCCAATTTGGTTTTCATTCTTACCTTGTACGCGCCAAGAACACACCTTCCCCGGTAGCAAAGTGATTAAACTAAAAAGGATAACTAAAAGATGTCTAATTTTGTTTGACTTAAACTACCCGATAAAACAAATTTCCCCGAGTAGTTTGTAATTAGCCAACCGAGGCCATACCAATTAATGGGGAAACGTGAGACTTTCTTATTGACATGGTAAATACCACGCATTTCCCACACTCCCCTTGTGTAATTATGCAAGTGGGACATAAACACGCGTAGAATGGCTGTAAAGTGAGTTGTACACCCGCACTGATCGTTCCACATGACCCCCTGCTTGCGATAAGCGAATCGTTGCAGCGGCGGTTTTGCATCCTGGAAGCTAATGAGTTTGGTGACTTCACCGAACGGTGGAGCA